ATTTCTCATTTCTTTTGCTGTGTTTTGTTTTGTTTTGCAATCACCAGCTTGATTCTCGAAGCCTGGAACTCGATTACAAAGTTTATTTTGACTCACTAAATATTTGCTGGGTACCTAAAACATCCCAAGCGCTAGGCTAGACAACATGGGAGAATTTGATGATAAGTAAGACATTCTCTCAACTCCTAGAGGGGAACTTGCGGTCTATGTGCCCCTCAGGCTTGTTTCCAGAAACAGCAAAAATTCTGCTTGTACTCCAGACTTCGTACGTGGAGTCTAGGGATGAGGCAAGTCCTCTATTTTTTTTAAAAGACCTTTTCTCCTTTGATGACCCTCCAAACACAAAGTTTCCTTTAGTCTCCAACTCACTTCCTCTTTTGAAACGACATTCTCAGCTGTGTTCAACTATTTCCTGTTGATATTTTCTAACTGCCTTAAGAAAAACCATAGAGTAATAACATAAAACATTATACTTGATTTAGCATATATTCTTTGCCTGAAGAACCAAAAAAAAAGTCAAAAGAGGGATGAGAAGTCCAGGTACAGTGGCTCATGCCTATAATCCTAGCACTTTGGGAGGCCAAAGTGGGTGAATTACTTGAGGCCAGGAGTTCAAGACCAGCCTGGGCAACATTGTGAAACCCCACCTCTACTAAAATTTTAAAAATAAACAAATAACCGGATGCGGTTGTACATGCCTATAACCCCAGCTATTTGGGAGGCAGGAGAATTGCCTGAACCCAGGAGTCGGAGGTTACAGTGATCCGTGATTGCGCCACTGTACTCCAGTCTGGGCAATAGAGTGAAACTTTATCTCAAATAAATAAAAAGGGAGGGAGGTGAGAGCAAGAGTAAAATCATTGTTATGCATATTCTGTCCATATTACACGGATAGATATAGAACAGATGGTAGATGAATAAATACCTACATACCTACATAAAATACATAGATAGATTCTTGTTTAAGGAACCTCTTCATTTAAACTGGTAATTCAATGGGAGAAAGAGGGGATCGTAGGAACACTAGAAGAAAGTCCGTTTATTTCTGTGAATAATTCTGTGCATGCTTGTTTATTACTGGAGAGAATTTTGTGTGTGAGAGAGGAAGGTTTGAATTACTTAACCACACAGTCAATTCTTAATTATCCATGTTAATAGACAGAAGCAATTGCTCTGATAATCTAAAAAACATATAATCAAAAATTCTTCCCCTTAATTAGTCACCTGTATCCTCCTACTGTTTCTCTCCCCCTCTACCCGCACCCAGCAAACAATTTTCTGTAAATTAGGGAAAATGTTTTTCAGAGGTAATCTCTCCCCCTACAGGCAACTAGCTGACCAAGCTGATGATCAGTTCCCTGAGGAGAGGCTGTAATCCTGGAATGCCTATGCATTCATTTACAACAAAGTCTAGGGATGGCAAGGAGGGAATGTCTTCCTGGAGATAGAAATATACATGTCCACTAGAGTATACATTCACCTCCTGCTTCCTGGTATTAGTGCATCTTGGAAGCCAAACCTTCAGGGAAGAGACAGTAAAGGGCAGCAATAAAGAGCTGAGAAGGTCAGGGAGAGCTATGTGACCTTGGGAAAACTGCTTTCTGAGCCTCAACTTACTCGGCTATAATATAGGGGCCATAATAATTATGACTTCATTGGTCTATTGTCAGTTTTATGAGATAATGACTGGAAAGCTCCTAACACAGTGAATGCCCCTGGTGATATCAACTATTATTATCACCATTGTTGTTATTCCTAAGGTTGTTGACAGTGCAAAGAATCATTCCAGGCTGGGCACAGTGGCTCAAGCCTGTAATCCCAGCACTTTGGCAGGCCGAGGCAGGCAGATCACTTGAGACCAGGAGTTCAAGACTAGCCTGGCCAGCATGGTGAAACCCCATCTCTACTAAAAATATTTTTAAAAAATTAGCTGGGTGTGGTGTCATGCGCGTGTAATCCCAGCTACTTGCAAGGCTGAGGCATGAGCCTCTTGCTTGAACACAGGAGGTGGAGGAGGTTGAAGTGAGCCGGTGACAGAGCCAGACTCTGTCTCAAAAATAAAAAAAAGAATCAGTCCAAGAATGTGGGCCATCCAAACTACAAACTGTGAATTTGCTGCAAATTATTATTGTTAATAACAAAAGCTATTGATTTTTAAAAATACATTCTAGCAGATTCAAGTTATCCTGCAATAAGCTTTGCTTTTCATCTCACTTCTGATATTCTTTCTGATAGCAGAGGAAACAGTAGGATTAGATCTGGTACACTGGGAGCCCTGAGTACTCCCTCATGGGTGGGAATGTATCTCATGAAGATTGAGATCTGTTGACTGTGGGACCTTTATACTCAGCCTGGCCTCTATGAGTCCTGATGAGTGATTACTTCATCCCAGTAGAGAGCATCTTCTAGTGCCTGAAGCTCTCCCTCAGCTTCAGTTTCTCCACATTTCCTGCCAGACCACCCATATCTCCCTACTAGAACGACTTGGCTTCCTTCACATATGTTCATATCATTGATGATATCTCCTCATCTTGCTCCAGACTGAAGGTGATTTTGCAAATGTCTAATCTCATCCATTCTGGGTGGATTTGATCAGACCAGGTATCAGAGTTCTGAGACCAGCCTTCCTGTCAGTATTGCCTATGTAAACTATCTTTGTGGCCTTGGTCAAATACGTTTTCTTCTTCTGTGTTATGACTCAGGCTGCCCTAGAAATTCGCTGATGGTTCCTTCCTGCTCAGACTCAGGGTTCTAGGATTCCAGCTGGGAGAGGGAGAAGATCAGTGGGAAAGGACACAGTGTAAGCAGATGTTTGGAGGAAACCAAAGACTTCCAACTTAACACTTACAGACCTCCTTCTTAATCACTCCTACTTAACACTGCCCAGAGTAGCTCTTCTCCTGATCCAATTTTTCTCAAAGGAAAAGATATCGGATTGCAGGTACTGAAGCGAACATTGCAATTTTAACGTATTAGTGAAATCTCATAAGTTATTAACATTTGGTCAACTGGATGATTTCTGGTCTTTTTCCCTGGGTCTCCACAGAAGGACCTGACCTTGCATGATCGCCATCTTCCTTTTACCCGCTAGGTGGCAGCAACACTCAGCTTTGTCAAATAGGAAAAAGAGTCCTTATTGTCATCTCTGTCGTCTGTATGTTTGATTTAGGAGCACCTCGATAATTTGTGTTTCTATTTTTATTTTTATGAACACCTAAAGTTGAATTCCAGCTACAAGTAATCACAAATAACTGTACAGATTTTGTTTTCGATTTCAGAAAAAAAAATCGAATGTAAAGCCAGTACACAACCAGCACAGAAACTGATGAATGGATGATAAAATAGAATTGGAATGACTTGCCCAGAGTCATACAGGTAGTCAGTGGCAGCGCGAGAACTAGAAATCAATCTCAACTCTCAAACCCAATCTCTTGGCCATTTTTTCTTTTGGGTGGTGAATACGCCCAATAGTTTCATGGAGTAACTATGGTCCCTGGGGCAGATTTGTTAACCTCTCTGGGCCTCGAGTTCCTCATCTATAATATGGGGACAATGATAGTAGCTATCTCACAGAATTCTGCCAGAATTAAATGAGACCTTGCCAGCAAGGGGCAGGGAGGCACGTCATACTCAGGCAGGTGTGTCACACACAGGGATGGGCAGCACACACTGGGACACCTGATGGCATTTTGGACCACAGTTTCCTTTGAGAGAGTCTCATGCAACACACTCGGTACACAATTTGCCTTCTTTTTTTTCATATGCAGGACAGTGCATGCATTTTTAACACACACATTTAAGCTAGATTCCAAAAATAAGAAATGCCAAGTGGAGACTGATATCCAATGAGAGGATGTCCAAGGCCTCTTTCAATCTTCACAGTCTCTGAATGCAATGTGTCTAACTCCAGGTTTCTCCCTTAGCAGGGGAAGTGGGAGAGAGAGTGTTTCCTTCAGTTGCTGTCACATTGCATCAACAACCCACCTAAAACAAAGACCTGAGGTAGAATAATCGGCTTGCCCTGATTATTCTCTGAGTATTCTCTTTCACTCTGAGTACCACACCGAATACTCTGGCTCCCTTTAAGATATACACAAGACCACCATGAACAGAAACATCAGTGCAAGTGAGTCTCATACAGGTAGACATTGCATTTCCAAATATCATAGTGTAACCACAATCAGAGACCCACTTCTCAGAAATCATTCTTTTTTTTTTTGGAGAAAGAGTCTTATTCTGGTGCCCAGGCTGGAGTACAGTGGCACCATCTCGGCTTACTGCAACATCTGCCTCCCGGGTTAAAGTGATTCTCCTGCCTCAGCCTCCCAAGTAGCTGAGACTACAGTTGTGTGCCACCAGGCCAAGCTAATTTTTGTATTTTTAGTAGAGATGGGGTTTTGCCATGTTGGCCAGGCTGTCCTTGAATTCCAGACATCAAATGATCTGCTCACCTCAGCCTCTTAAGGTGCTGGGATTCCAGGTGTGAGCCACCAGGCCCAGCCATCAGAAATTATTCTTAGGACCGAAGCCGCTGAGTATCTCCAGAAAGCCTAGGACTGAGCCAGGTTATGCGGCTGGTAGAGTCCTATGGAATCACTGTAGCTAAATCAAATCCAACTGATCTTAATACCCTGAAGTTACAAAGTGCCTATGTTATTTGTGCAATGTTTTGTTCACTCTTTACAAGGCACTTTGCAAGTTTTTTAAAATCTCATTTGATGCTTAAAACAACACTGGAGCTAGTGTGGGAGGTTGTAAGTCACCATCTCATAAATGAGGAGAATATCAAAGGCAAAACAAGATCAAGTACAAAGGCCTTCAAATCAGACAGACTTGAGTTCATATCACAGCTCTGGTGCTTCCTAGCTATGTGACTCTGAGCAAGTTAAATGATCTTTCTAAGCCTCAGTTTCCTCCTCCACAAAAAGGGGATAATGGAGTTCACTCCAGGGGTTGTTCTGAGGATTAAATAAGAGAGCATTGGAGACAAAGGGCTTTAATATTTTTAATAACTTATTATTATTAAATCATTGACAACTTGTGACAGAAGTCAGGCTAGGCACCCCAAATCCAGTGGGGTAAATGTTCAGATTCAAGGATATGGATTCACGGATCCAAAATCAGACTTTTCTAGCTTAAAAAAAAAGGACAGGCTTTACTTATTAGCTGACCTTTGATACCAAAAATCACCTTTTTGGCCATGAATTTGTGAATCTCCAACATTTGAATTGGAGAAGTACTTTTCATGTTCCCACTTCCATGTATGTGGCTTTTGTGAGATTTTGCCTAGTATTGATGCAAAAGCTGTTTGTCCTGTTGCGTGACAGCATGGCCATTTCTGCTCCAAGATTCTGCAAAGAAAGAGAAAATTAGTAAAAGGCCAGGCACGGTGGCTTATGACTGTAATCCAAACAGTTTGGGAGGCCGAGGCAGGTAGATCACCTGGGTCAGGAGTTCAAGATCAGCCTGGCCAACATGGTAAAACTCTGTCTCTACTAAAACCATAAAAATTGGCTGGTGTGGTGGTGCATGCCTGTAATCCCAGCTACGTGGGAGGCTGAGGCATGATCCTCTCAGTTGAACCTGGGAGGCAGAGGCTGCAGTGACCCAAGATCACACCACTATGCTCCAGCCTGGGTGACAGAGCAAGACTTTGCAAAAAAAAGAAGAGAGAGAGAGAGAAAGAAAGAGAAAGGAAAGAAGGAAGGAAAGAAAGGCAGGCCAGGAAAGCAGTAACAGTACAGAAGATTGGGTGGAGTGAGTAGGGATGTGGAAGGAAATTTCAGCCAAGAATTCTCAAGTTCCTTTTCTAAGCCTGGAGAGAAGAGTTAAACCACTTTTTTTTTTTTTTCTGAGAATATAGTCTCGACAAGATGCAGTGGCTCAGGCCTATAATCTCAGAGCTTTAGGAGGCTGAATCAGAGGAATCATTTGAGGCCAGGAGTTCAAGGCTGCAGTGAGCTATGATTGAGCCACTGCACCTCCAGCCTGGGCAACAGAGTGATATCCTGTCTTTTAAAAATAAAAAATAATATTGCCTCCTCATCACTGATGACGCACAGACACACTGAACTGGTGGTATTTCTCTGGAGAGCAACTTGGTTGGAAAGCTCTGTACACCTCTGCCCCCATTGCTGAGACCACATTCCAAAGAAACAATCCCCAAAGAAACGAGGGAATGGAGGGTGAAACACTGTGTAAGGTCATTCCAAGCCCAGCTGTTTATAATGGTGAAAAACTGGAAACAATCCAAATGTTCAATAATGGTAGACTGTATAAAAGAATGTCGTCTATGGACCGGATGGAATGCTGTTTAGGCAAAACGTGGTAAGCCTGCGGGCTGCGTTAAGTGAAAAAGGCAGATCACAATGTGATATGGACATAAACATTACAACTATGTAAACCTAAAATATGTGGACATTAATATAAAAGAAAGAGACCGGGGATGGTGACTCATGCCTGTAATCCCAGCACTTTGGGTGGCTGAGGCAGGCAGATCACCTGAGGTCAGGAGTTCCAGACCAACCTGGCCAACATGTCAAAACGCCCGTCTCTAGTAAAAATACAAAAATTAGCCGGGTGTGGTGGCAGGCACCTGTAATCCCAGCAACTCAGGAGGCTGAGGCAGGAGAATCGCTTGAACCCAGGAGACAGAGCTTGCAGTGAGCTGAGATTGTGCCACTATACTCCAGCCTGGGCGATAAGAGAAAGACTTTGTCTCAAAAAAAAAAAATATATATATATATATATATATATATATATATATACACACATACACACACACACACACACACACATATATGTAAAGGAAAGAAAATGTGTATAGTATATGTAGTGCAGAGACCAAGCTACTGTGCGTGCCACCTTATAAACATTATCTCATTTAATCCTCATACCATCTAACCATTTTGTTCATTTTTTTTTTTTTTTGAGACAAGGTCTCACTCTGTCATGCAGGCTGGAGTTCAGTGATCTTGGCTCAATGCAACCTCCACCTACCAGGCTTAAGCAGTTCTCCTGCCTCAGCCTTCAAGGAGCTGGAACTACCAGGCATGTGCCACCTGCCTGGCTCACTTTTGTATTTTTTGTAGAGACTGGGTTTCACCATGTTACCCAGGATGGTCTCGAACTCCTGAGCTCTGATGATCCACCCACCTCAGCCTCCCAAAGTGCTAGGATTACAGGTGTGAGCCACCCTGCCAGGCCCATTTTGTTCATTTTTTTCTTTTTTTTTTTTTTTTGAAACAGTCTTGCTCTGTCACCCTGGCTGGAGTGCAGTGGCATGATCTCGGCTCATTGCAACCTATGCCTCCCAGGTTCAAGTGATTCTCCTGCCTCAGCCTCTCAAGTAGCTGAGATTACAGGGCACACTGCCACACCCAGCTAAATAAATTATTTTGTATTTTTAGTAGCGATGGTGTTTCCCCATGTTGGCCAGACTGGTCTCGAAATCCTGACCTTAAGTGATCCACCTGCCTCAGCCTCCCAAAGAGCTGGGATTACAGGCTTGAGCCACTGTGCATGGCCACCATTTTGTTCATTTCTATTTCTATACACACACACACACACACACACACACACACACACACACACACACAAAAGCCCTGCTGGGATTATAATTTGCATTGTGAAAAATGGGACTTTAAAATGAGTGGCTCTGGCCGGGCATGGTAGAATCCTGCTCCAGCAGGAGAATCGCTTGAACCTGGGAGGCAGAGGTTGCAGTGAGCTGAGATCACGTCACTCCATTCCAGCCTGGGTGACAGAGCAAGACTCCATCTCAAAAATAAATAAATAAATAAATAAATAAAATTAGCAGCTCTCCCATTTACAAGATGTGTGACTTTGGACACTAAACTGCTTCGTTCATAAAATGAGGAGGAAGCTGATTAAATGTTAAATCTGAGTGTCTTTGAGCTATCAAATGTGTCATAATTTTAGTTTTTATGTCTCTGGTGTTCCTGAGAATCAGTTCAAAAATGCCTACCATGAAGTGAGTGTCCATTGACATGTTTTGAAAGGTATGGTGCAAGTCTGGGCGCAGTGGCTCATGCCTGTAATCCCAGCACTTTGGGAAGCCAAGGTGGGTGGATCACCTGAGTCAGGAGTTTGAGACCAGGCTGGCCAACATGGTGAAACCCCATCTCTACTAAAAATACAAAAAAATAGCCTGGCATGGTGGCAGGTGCCTGTAATCCCAGCTACTCAGGAGGTGAGGCACGAGAATCACTTGAACCCAGGAGGTAGAGGTTGCAATGAACCGAGATAGCATCATTATTGCACTCCAGCCTAGGTAACAAGACCAAAACTCCATCTCAAAAAAAAAAAGGAAAGTATACTGCAAAATGCCACCAAAAGAAAACTGACTTTCCTATATTAAAGAAGAGAAAAGAGATTAAAACTTTTTCTATGTCAAAAAAGAAAAAGAAAAATATAACTGATTTTCCTATATTAAAGCAAGATACAGTTCAAAATATTCTATTAATGTCATTCATAGTTCCATAAATTTTAGTTACCAGAATAAAAGTGCTTTCTTTCTACCATACCCAGAGAATTGGCAGAGATGGAGATGGGGGTGGAATAACATACCCAGAAAGAATTAGAAACTATGCACAGACAGTTTAAGTGAAAACCGGAAATTCTGGCTGGAACCACATTGTTTTCAACTAGCATTCAAATAACTTTGTCATCTAGGAGGCGCTATTTCCCCCAACCACAAACTGTCCTTCTGAAGTGGAGGAAGGAGGAGTATGTTAAGCCACATGATCGGGGTTAACCCCTCCTGAAACTGACGCTCTTCAAGGCCCACTTGCCTCCCTCTTTGCCATAAACTGCTGAGACTGTGGTCTTCTGGCTTGGATTCTCATTAGGTGCTGCTTCCGTTTTTGCCTTACTCTTTTTTTTTTTTTAGACACAATCTTGCTCTGTTGCCCAGGCTGGAATGCAGTGGCATCATCTCAGCTCACTGCAACCTCTGCCTCCCAGGTTCAAGTGACTCTCCTCCGTCAGCCTCCGGCGTAGCTGGGATTACAGACATGTGTCACATCACCCGGCTAATTTTTGTATTTTTAATAGAGACGGAGCTTCACCATGTCGGCCAGGCTAGTCTCAAACTACTAGCCTCAAGAAATCTGCCTGCCTCGACCTCCCAAAGTACTAGAATTACAGGCGTGAGCCACCACGCCCAGCCTGACTTACTCTTGATAGATGTTCTCACTTCTTGCAAGGTCACTCTTCCAGTACGTCTGTTTCCACTTGTGAGAAATGAGGGGAGAGTTCAATCATGGTAGTAGCTGCAGTCTGTTGAGACTATGTTTGTCCCTGACTTCTGACTTCTCCCATCGGGAGACAAGTTTGGGAAAGGGGTGGGTGGGTCTGCGACTGGACAACGTTTCACCAGCACCTCAAGGGAACAGACACTACCTTGTCTTCTTCTGAAACAGGCCTTCCCCTCCCCAACAGCTGAGGGAAGTAGGGGAAGGGGCAGAGCAGGAACACAAAAGGAACTGACATTCTGTGATGGTCCAGCATTCTGGCCTTTAAAAAGACTTTGAGTAATGCTCTGGTTTCTCTTCATAAGGAATAAATTTTTTGCCTTTTACTAAAGATTTTCGTGGAGAGGAACAATTATGAGCCTATAACCAAATTTTTTGATGTCCTGCTTAGGTAGGGCTAAGTAATAGGAAAAAAAAAAAGACTTTAAGTGGCCGGGTGCAGTGCCTTACGCCTGTAATCCCAGCACTTTGGGAGGCTGAGGCGGGAGTATCATGAGGTCAGGAGTTCAAGACCAGCCTGCTCAACATGGTGAAACCCCGCCTTTACTAAAAATACAAAAATTAGCTGGGTGTGGTGGTGCACATCTGTAATCCCAGCTACTAAGGATGCTGAGGCAGGAGAATGTCTTGAACCTGGGAAGTGGAGGTTGCAGTGAGTTATCTCACCACTGCACTCCAGCCTGGGTGACAGAGTGAAACTCCGTCTCTAAAAAAAAAAAAAAAAAGACTTTGAGTATATGAATGAGTCCTGTGTTTATTTCTCCCCAAACAAGCATCTTTGTTAGGTAGTTAGACGCAATTATTATTCTTGGCCTAAACAACTTGAAACTGCAAATCCCTCTGCCAGCATTTGGGTTGCAAAATGTTTTGTTTTCTTGGCCTTCTGTCTTTAGTCTCTAAATCACCTGGTGCAACATCCTCGGCCCTCTGTTCACAAATGAGGACATTTAGGGCAAAGGTGAGGGAACAAAGAAGAAAAGGCTTTCTAGTAACTTTTGAGTCGGGACAGGATTACGAAGCACGAAATTATCTATTTTAGTCTGAGCTATGTGGTATATATATTATTGTCATTATTAATAGTAACAGCATTTAGGCCAGGTACAGTGGCTCACGCCTATAATCCCAGCACTTTGAGGGCCAAGGTGGGTGGATTACAAGGTCAGGAGATCGAGACCATTCTGGCTAACATGGTGAAACCCCATCTCTACTAAAAATACAAAAATAAAAAAAAAGAATTAGTCTGGCATGGTGGTACATGTTTGTAGTCCCAGCTACTCAGGAGGTTGAGGCAGGAAAATCACTTGAACCTGGGAGGTGGAGGTTGCAGTGAGCTGAAATCACTCCACTGTACTCCAGCATGGGCGACAGAGCAAGACTTTGTCTCTAAAGAAAAAAAAAAAGGAAAACAAAACAAACACTAACAGCATTTGAGGAGATAATTCTACTAACTTCAGAGCATTTTATTTTTGAGACAGGGTCTCACTCTGTCCCCCAGGCTGGAGCGATACACTGGTGCGACCATGGTTCATTGCCGCCTGGACCTCCTGGACTCAAGCTATCCTCCTGACTAATTTTTTTATTTTTTGTAGAGATGAGGTCTCACTGTGTTGCCCAGGCTGGCCTCAAACTCCTAGGCTCAAGGCAGCTGCTGGTCTTAGCCTCCCAAAGTACTGGGATTACAGGTGTGAGCCACTGCGCGCGGCCTCATAGCATTATTGTCAGGAATAAGTGAGGCTGCGATGTAAATAAAGCATATGACTCAGTCCCTGGCCCATAGTAAATGCCTCTAAACTATTAGCTACTATTATTGTTACCAGTCATCTTTTTATTGAGCCTGTACTGTACAGGGGCACTGTATCTGATCTTTTATATCAACTGATTTGAATATCAACGGAACAGTTATAAGCAATTGTCATTATGCTCATTTTACAGATGAGAAAACTGAGATTCAAGGTCACAAAGTCCTTAGGTGGCAGAACTGGGACCCAGGCCCAGATGTGTTCAGTTCCAAAGCCCACATGCTCCTCACCGCACTGCAGTGGATAAAGGACACTTTCAGGGGCTTCGCAAGTTAGCCAGTTTCCCTCCTCAACAGTGTTACTAAACTATGAATCCTTATATAATGACAGCATTTCTCCCTGAACCAATTTTCTTCAAATGTCATTTCCTCCTTCTATAAACAGACTGAACACATCCCTGACTCACATTTGAACAAAGTCATTTCACATCTCATATTTTCTTTTCCCTGCAGTCAGCCCTATGGCAATTGCGCAGGCCCAGGGCCAAATTCCAGCTCAGAGTGGAGGATGTGTGAATACCATAGGCTAAGAAAATAGCATGAGACCAACTAACAGAGGGCCCCCAAGTCCTGTCTTACCCTGCTATTTCCCAGCAGGCTGTGGATTAAGATATAAATGAGACATATGGAGATGGTAAAAAGCATATTTCAGGCATGCTGTGGCCTGTATTCCTGTCAAGCACACACACTGGGTCATTTTTAATCATGAAAACACCACCAAGCAGGCTACGTAAATATTTCTACAGAACCAAAATTGAAGTCACTGCTTTATTTCTCACACTTTCCTTCTTACATCAGCCTTTTCTGCAGTGTCCCAGAATTGGGTGCACACACCCCTCCTCCGCCCCCAGAAAAAGGAGAGAGAAAGAAAAGAACTGGTTAGTTCCAAAAAAACGAAACAGTTCCTCCTGGGTATGTTTCAGTTGAATTAATTATCCCCAGGCATAATAATAAATGTTATCATGATCAACAGAAAAACTTATCTAACATAAACTTTCTACACAGTATTGTAGAAGGGCATTGTGGTAAAATGCCATCAAGCATCCCTGCTGCACCTCCCTGTCAGTGATGTGTCCCCCACGTCCCTGTGTTGTGATGCGCTTCCCTGCCTTAAGCTCTGAGGACAACATGTATAAGAACTCACCATTCAAGAAATAGCCATTTCTTCCGTGAAGCCACTCCAGTACACTAGAGCTTGGTCATTTCCTCCATTCCCATCTTCACTCCCCGATTCAGATGGCAATTTGATGTGGCCGCTCGTTTGGCCCTTGGCATAGGCTCCCTGGCACCATTTTTAGTGGCCCTGTCTTCCTCCGACTCCTCCTGCTGTTGGAAAGCTTGCAAGCTCTGGAGTCAGATTATCCTGAATTTGAATCATGCCTCGGTGAGGTGGGGGAAGAGCAAAGATCAAAGCAGAGGTCCTTGTGAGCTCAGGAGATGTCCTGGTTTCGCTGGTGCAGAAACGAGTTCCTGGGAGGAAGTAGTGAGGAATGAGTCTGGAACAGCAGGTAGGGGCCAATTCACAGGAACCTTTACAAAAAGAACAAGTTGTTAGACAGAACATCTTACAAAACTTTGCAACATCTCCATTTAATTCTCTCCTATCCCCTTTTCAGTTTCATTGGAAGGATATAGGCCAAACTCCAGCTGGATTATATAATGATTCCCAGCATTGGATCAGCAATTCTCACTTTTTTTTTCCTCCCAAAAGATTGTTTAGGCAGTCTTTCACGTGTATGTAGAGGAAAGAACATTCATTAGATAGGGTATCAGGAGACTCGGTTCTAGCCACTGGAAGTTGAGTCATCACCTCTCTCTGAGCCTCGGAGGAAGGTAAAAGGACTAAAGTAGGTGATTTTGACAGTTGTTCTAGGTCTGACATCCTTGATATGTTCTCAACAGTAACATCTGGAAACTAAAGAAAAGCAAAATCTAAGGGTATGTGTCGTTCATGAGAGCAGAGGAATATGGTCTGTTTACCCATTGGCTTCAGGGATAACCTGCACTTTTTCACTTCTCCACATTTACCTCAAGTCTCTTCCTGAACATGCTCCTTGTGGGCCTTGTAGTGTTGTCTGCTGGGTTAACCTGAGCCTTAGAACTTTTGCTCTGTTTTTGCTGAGTCTTTCACCTGACCTGCATGGAAAGATGTTGGGAACCCATTGGCAAAACTTGCTTCAGCTCTTGGCTGTCCATACGTGCATGCCAATAAACCCACGTGCCCTGGAGATTGTGAACACAGTTCCCTTTATACTCTCAGGCTCTTATTCTCCCAAAGTACACATTCTTTAAATAAGGTTGTGAGCTGGCCATGAAAACAACAATGAGGTGTACAGTGCAGGCTTTCAGCTACACAACTGTATCAGCCCATTGACAATTGAGTTTTGCAAAGAGACATTCTCTCAAGAAGAGCCAGAACAAGGACAGATTTTTAAACATTGAAAATGGCTTCAGCTTGAGTCTCAAAATGTTGATAAACTAAGACTTTCGAACACCATGTAGCCCCAGATAGCACTTGATGATTAATGAAGTACAATACCCAAATATGGATGAGATAGATTCCTCCCATCCACAGAGCGTCCAAATGTCTAGATCAACACTCAAAGCAAGAAACCATTCCCTCTGCCATGGAAACATCTGAGTTTGCAGCATTAAAAACTGGGGGCTGAATGCAGTGGATGAGGGGACATGATCTACTCTGAATCTGACCAATTTTCCCTGGGAAACATCTCTCTCGGTTTATAGAAGAGTTTCTTCTGCATCTCACTTCCTGTGTGTAATCTGGAGGTTTTTATGTCTCCCTCATTCATCTAGCTAGCTCATTTTTAAATGTAGTTGGCTTTGTGTGTGTACTGTCCTTTATGGGGAAATGGCTAGAAAATTGTGTGTGCAGTGTGTTGTATCAGACTCTGTCACAGGACATTGTGATACAAAATGCCATCAGGCATCCTTGCTGCACTCCCTATAAGTGACAAACATGACCACCCCCACCTGTCTGTATTGTGATGCACTTCCCTGCCTTGTCATGCTCGCTGGTAACATCATGGTGATACCTTGGCTTTCAATGTGCCCCAGGGCAAAGCATCTGCCTGCTCTGAGATATATATACATATATATAAAGTATCCACAATGAATGTACACAATACTAGATCTGTATTAGAATCTCTAATACTTCCCTTTATCAAAGTGTAATAGTATTAAATATTCAGCTGTAACTAACATCACATAAGACGTTATTCAGTATACTTTCTTAGAAATGGATGTCATACAAATAATAACATATAGAATCAGAAACTCTGGGAATGGGGCCCAGAAATCTATATTAACTTCTCTTTTCTTCTCATTTTTTTTCCATCTGGATTTTTATCAATTTTTAGCTCTATTAGAAATTCCAAAGTGTCTTTAAAGGGTATCCCTTGATACTTTCTGCTTTTTGGCATCCTCTGAAGCTTCCCTTATATTGCAGGCCTGTATTTGGAATGAGGAGGCACAGCCCATGTTTGCTGTACTTTATTTGAAGCCAAGAAAATAAATGAGGACATTTTCTTGCCCTTTAATAATTTTAAGTCTAGACCTTTTCAACACTGGGGTGGCCATCCAAAATATTTTCATCTCTTCCTCCTTTGGTACCCAGGGGGCTTCTAGTACTCTTTTCATTTATTCAATAAATATTATTTACAGGATAAACCGCATAATAAATGTGGCACATCTTCTTTTACACACGTATTTTGAAATCAGTCCCAAATACTCAGCATTTATTGACTCTTCTGAGCCTTTCCAGAAGGAAGCCTGTTTAAGAGGAGTCATATCTATCTCCATTTCAAGATACACATTAAACACCCATTTTCTTTTTTTTAAATCTGTATAACTTTAAGGGGTACAAGTGCAGTTTTATTTTTTGGCTATATTGTGTAGTGGTGACGTATCTGGGCTTTTATTGTAACCATCACCTAAACACCCATTTTCAATGTTTCAGTCGATTTCATTGGAGGCTTAAGAGGCAGCTGAACCAACACTCAGGTTAGGAGATGTAGTTGTGGGAGACCTTACCAATTAGAAAGTGCATCTTTCAAAAGTCCCAGTAGCCAGAGTGTGAGGATTGCCTCAAGGAAGAAGTGGAAGGCAAGGGTGAGGAATTAAGAGGGCATGAGGGCTTGTCAACTGGAAATTGGGAGGAGCCAGGTGCAGTGACTCACACCTGTAATCCCAGAAACTTGGGAGGCCAAGGCAGGTAGATCATTTGAGGTTAGGAGTTTGAGACCAGCCTGAGCAACATGGTGAAACCCAGTCTCTACGAAAAATACAAAAAAAATCAGCTGGATGTGGTGGCGCATGCCTGTAAGTCCCAGCTACTCAGGAGCCTGAGGCAGGACGATCACCTGAACTCAGGAGGCAGAGGTTGCAGTGAGCCATGATCACACCACTGCACTCCAGCCTGGGCAATAGAGTGAGACTCTGTCTCAGAAAATAAAGGGAAAAGAAATTGGGAGGCCCAATGGAAGGAGGATGAGCTCTGCAGTCAGATATATATGGGCTTGAATCTTCACTCTGTGACTTCCTAGCTGCACTAACTTTGGGCAGGCTAGCTAACCTCCCTGGGCCTGCTTCCTCATCTGTAAAATGAGGATGGGAATAGAAGTGAGTTCATAAAGTTGTGGTGAAGATTACATGAAGTAATCCATGTCAAGCCTTTTACACTGGCCCTCCCATTGAGTAGGCAATCAGCAAATGATGGCTCTTAATATCAACCAGGAAGTTTCCATGGCTTACCTACTACTCCAAGCAGATTGCCCCCACTGCCACACCATTCCTCTCTGAGGTTTGTCTACATTCCCACTTGGGAGGGATATGGCAGTGGGAGCCTCTTTCCTTTCCTCAGAAGTTCACTGCCCCCTGCCTGGTGAGCTCAGGCAAAGGAAATCAGCCTCTCTACCCTAGGGAAAACCTAAAAGGAGATGGCACAGAGCAGCCTGCTGAAATTAGACAGTGGGGTCACCCTGGTCCTCTGTGCCACAGGAAGGAGGGGGTACTGAAGCATCAGTTGCAGTGGGCAGTGCTGCAGCAGAAATTCCAGAGCTGAGAAGGCTGCCATCAGCCAAGTGAGACATGACCAGGCCCTGAGGTAAGTCTGTAACTTAGGAGGAAAGAAAGTGCAGAAGTGGGAAAAGGAAGGAAAATGTGAATAGATTTGGCAAGAGATGAGTCCAGAAGGAAACATCACTCTTCCTGGGCATCACAGTCAAGCTACAACAGATGCAGGGCAAGAGTGAGCGATGAGAGGAGAAAGAACGAAAAACCAGAGCCTTGTCTCAACTGTGTATATGACAAGGAATCTAACAGGTAGTTCCAGATGGAGAGAAAACGCCATCACATAGCTGGTAAGCTTAAAACTCATGGTACAGAGCTGTGGTGGTGGCAGTTCGCATGCAAATTAGCTAGACTTGGTAAGCTCACTAAATGTTTATTATATGTAAATTAAATTTTTAAAAAACTTCATCTTTTAATAGAAACAAATGTGACAATTCCTAGACCTATTATGACTGTGGTTTCTGAATGTTTTTCCTGATGGTATAAGGTTTAAGGGGAAAAAATAGCTAGAAGGAAGAAAAAGTGAGCAGGATTCCAATTCTTTTCTGCTCGCTGGGGAACACATGCTTTCCAAATACCGGGAGGAAAGGAGAGGAGAAGAGAGGAGAGGAGCCACCTGGGTTCTTTCTCAGCTCTGAGTCTGTTTTGGCTCCAGAATACACTCCACTTTCCCCAAGCTGATAGCTTTCAGTTCCAATATTTTTTTCTCAGAAATGCACAATCTCGTGAGAGCTCCTTGGTGAGCTTCTGTAGCCCCAAGGAAACATCTAAAGGGACGCTGATATAAGTCATTAGTTTAGAATCAATGAGATTGGGGGCCCCAGAGGGCAGGACTTCCTTCTGTATGTATTTGTCCCCATACAGACAGTCACAGAATAGGTGGTTAATAAAAGATTAATTGAATAATTTGCCTACTAAATTATTTTGTTTTATCTCTTGTTTTTCTTTTTTGAGACGGAGTTTCTCTCTTATTGCCCAGGCTGGAGTGCAATGGTGCCATCTAGGCTCACCACAACCTCTGCCTCCCAGGTTCAAGTGATTCTCCTGCCTCGGCCTCCTGAGTAACTAGGATTACAGGGGTGTGCCACCACGCCCAGCTGATTTTTTTTTTTTTTTTTTTTTTAGTAGAGATGGGGTTTCACCACATTGGCCAGGCTGGTCTTGAACTTCTGAAATCAGGTGATCAGCCCGCCTCAGCCTCCCAAAGTGCTGGGATTACAGGTGTGAGCCACCACACCCAGGCATTTTTTAAAAAAAACTTTTAATGTAGTCATCATTTAAAAATAGATTTTACAGTAAGATCCAGATTTCCAGCTTATTTTGAAAAATGGGAATATCTGGCCACAGATGGGCCCACCTCCCCACTCAGCGACCATGTGCTGGAATTATGGCGTGGTTACTCGGTTTTAGAGGTGGTTCCCACAGTCCCCATCTCAGGCCCAGGATACGTGCTAATTCTTCCACAAAGACTTCTCTGATCACCCCAAACAGGACTGATTTCTCATCCCTCTCAGCCCTTGGAACCCATTTCAATTACTCACCTAAATCCTCTACATGCTGCCTGTACATGGGTATTTCTGGATGTCTTGTCTCCCCTCTTCCTCCTACACCCTGGCTGGAATGAGGCCTTCTGAGGCTCTACACACTGAAAAGATTAGCAGGGTGCCTCCGCATATGTAATTCCCAATCAAATTTTATTTTTCAAAGTGACAGTGTTTACAAACAAGTTAAGGACAAACTTCTAGATTGAAAAAAATTTCTTGGCTGGGTGCAGTAGCTCACACCTGTAATCCCAGCACTCTAGGAAGCCAAGCAGGGTGGATTATTTGACCTCAGGAGTTGGAGATTAGCCCGGGCAACATGACAAAACCCCGTCTCTACTAAAAATACAAAAATTAGCCTGGTGTCGGGGTGCACTCTTGTAATCCCAGCTACTTGGGAGGCTGAGGCAGGAGAATTGCTTGAACCTAGGAGGCGGAGGGTGCAGTGAGCCAGGATCACACCAATGCACTCCAGCCTGGGCAACAGAATAAGACTCCATCTCAAAAAAGGAAGAAAAAATCTCTATTTTCTTCTAATGAAGAACAACTTCTTATTTTGAAAAACCCCAAATCAAATCTTTACCCCTACATTCTTCAACATCTTTTTCTCTTTTATTTTTTAAGATGAAGTCTTATTCTGCTCTCAGGGTGGAGTAGTGGGTGATCTCGGCTCACTGCAACCTCCACCACCAGGTTCAAGAGATTTTCTTCCCTTAGCCTCCTGAGTAGCTGGAATTACAGGCATGCGTCACCACACCCAGGCAATTTTTGGGGTTTTGTTTTGTGGGTTTTTTGTTTGTTTGGTTTTGTTTTTTTTTTTTTTTTTTTTTTTTGAGACGGAGTTTCGCTGTTGTTACCCAGACTGGAGTGCAATGGCACGATCTCGGCTCACCGCAACCTCCGCCTTCTGGGTTCAAGCAATTCTCCTGCCTCAGCCTCCCGAGTACCTGGGACTACAGGCGCGCACCACCATGCCCAGCTAATTTTTTGTATTTTTAGTAGAGACGGGGTTTCACCATGTTGACCAGGATGGTCTTGATCTCTTGACCTCGTAATCCACCCGCCTCGGCCTCCCAAAGTGCTAAGATTATAGGCGTGAGCCACCGCGCCCGGCCGATTTTTGTTTGTTTGTTTTTTGTTTTTTGTATTGGTGGGGTTTCGCCATGTTGGCCAGGCTGATCTGGAACTCCTGAGCCCAAGCAATCTACCTGCCTTGGCCTCCCAAAGTGCTGGGATTACAGGCGTGAGTATTTATTTCTTAAGAAGAAGTGCATTTTCCTAGGTGACCACAACATCATTCATACAAGAAAATTCACACCCAAGAAATTTGACCTGGATACAATATCATGTACCATAGAGTTCATATTCAAGTTTTCTAATTGTGCCAGTAATGTATGCCCTTTAAAACTTCTTTTAAAAATCAGAGTTCTAATCAAGGATCATACATTGCATGTGGTCCCTTTTTTTTTCTTTTTCTTTCTTCTTCTTTCTTTCTTTATTTTTTTAGACGAGTCTTGCTCTGTCACCAGGCTGGAATGCAGTGGCATAATCGCGGCTCACTGCAATTTCAGCCTCCCGGGTTCAAGCGATTCCACTGCCTCAGCCTCCCAAGTAACTGAGACTACAGGCGTGCGCCACCACGCCCAGCTAATTTTTTGTACTTTAGTAGCGATGGGGGTTTCACCATGTTGGCCAGCATGATCTCCATCTCCTGACCTCATGATCTGCTGGCCTCGGCTCCCAAAGAACTGGGATTACAGGCATGTCTGTGATCTGGAACACTTCCCCAATTTTTGTTGTTAGTCTTTCATGACACTAAAATTTTGAAGCATCGGGGCCAGTGTTTTGTAGACTATCCCACAGTCTCTACCTCTGTCTGAATGTTTCTTCATTATTATTACATTTAGGTTCAACATTTTTGTGAGAAACTACAAAGCTGATGTGGTTTGCTAAATTTTCTGTTGGTGGAGTTCCAGATACTGTCACGAAAGCTGAAAATGTGTTTGTGTATGTGTGTGTACTTTGTGGGCACCTTAATAATATGTGTGTTGTATTAATAATCTTGGCTACCATCCTGGATATCATGCAAAGCATTAGCCGGGTGTCAGAGTGCATGCCTGTAATCCAGCTACTCGGGAGGCTGAGGCAGGAGAATTTACTTATAAGCAGGGCTTCAGGAATTATAATGTCAAACTGTTTATTTTCCCCGCTAGTTGGTTTTTTGTTTTTTGGTTGTTTGTTTTGTTTTGTTTTGGAGACAGAGTCTCTCTCTGTTGCCCAGGCTGGAGAGCAGTGGCATGATCTCAGCTCACTGCCACCTCCACCTCCCAAGTTCAAGTGATGCTCCTGCCTCAGCCTCTCGAGTAGCTGGAATTACAGATGCCCGCATGACGCCCAGCTAATTTTTGTGTTATTAGTAGAGACAGGGTTTCTCAGTGTTGGCCAGGCTGGTCTTGAACTCCTGACCTCAGATGATCCGTCCGCCTCAGCCTCCCAAAGTGCTGGGATTACAGGCATGAGCCAAGGCATCCGGCCTCACACTAGTATTAATCTACTGTCATTGCAAACACTTATTGACCACGTTATAATTTTTGTTGAATCTGTAGGTGTAACATAATGTCTTTTTCCTTTGTTTGTTTTTTGTTTTGGTTTGGTTTTGAGACAGAGTCTCTGTCGCCAGGCTGGAATGCAGTGGTGCCATGTTGGCTCACCACAACCTCTGCCTCCCTGGTTCAAGCGATTCTCAAGTCTCAGCCTCTCGAGTAGCTGGGATTACAGGTGCCCACCACTGCACCCAGCTAATTTTTTGTATTTTTAGTAGAGATGGGGTTTCACCATGTTGGCCAGGCTGTTCTTAAACTCCTGACCTCAAATGATCCACCCACCTCAGCCTCCCAAAATGCTGGGATTACAGGCATGAGCCACCGCACCTGGACCTATATTACATATTATATTACATATATTACATATTAATACATGTAACATGCTGTTATTGCTAATATATGTAATATATGGTATTATTAGCTTCTTCCATTTTATAGCTCCCATGTCATTTGGAGACTCATTGGGCTCGCCAAGGTGCCCATCTCACAAGTGGTCCTGCCCCCTTTGGGGATGTCCTGCACCACACTTAATGGCCCCGACCATAAACTGCGTCCCTATAACCGTGTCACCACACACATGCTCATAACAGTGGTGACTCCACCTCGTACGGGCAAGTGCCCATGAACTGAAGTCTGCCCCTTAAGTGTCAGGCCAATTATGGTTTTCCTTGTGAATCGGAAAAACATTCTGCGACCCGGTAGTGTCTCCCAAAATCCGAAGAGATTGATGCCAATGAGTCCCCTGCCTCTCTTTAGAGACTCACAGACATCTTAAAGATATTTCACCCAACTTTTAGACCTATGTGTCATGATTTATTCTGCAACAATTAAAGGAAGTCTACTCATGACGGGGCCCCTAGCACATGAAAGCAACCCTGCCACTCCCAACCTCTCCCTGGGCTTCTTCCCCCAACTTGAGTCTTTCTTTGTATAGTGTTTCAAGGACTAACTAGTAAACTCATGATACAAGCGCATCCAGGAGGCGAGCCATAAATGCTCCATGAATGAACGAATAAGGAAGGACTGTTACTGCGTTGCTAGGCAAAGGGAAGGAACGTTGGGGGGGCCAATCTAGGTGCTGATTGGCTAGTCCCCACAATGCAGTAGGCGTAGAGCACGAGGCAGTCGTGGCCCAGCTGGTGAGGAGGAGGGACACAGGAAGCAATCCTGCCTCGTTTGGTGGTCCAAGGCGAGCGCGGTGGCCCTTTGGGCCCCGCCCCGCCCCGCCCACCGGCAGCCGGGCCAAGGCCCCAGCGGAGGTCCCGCGGACGCCTGCGCAATGTATCCTTACTGCCACCGCTGCCTCCGATTCCGACTCCAGCAATGGCGGACCGCTCCGCCGCCGGCGCTGGCGGCAGCACATCCTTGAGGGAGATGCCGGCACGGAAGGGTGAGCTGGCGGGTGGCTCCCGGGGGTGGCTCGGTCCTGCGTGGGAGGCGGGGCTCCCGCAGACCCTGCGTGGGAGGCGGGGCTGTCGGAGCGGCGCAGCGGGCACCACAAAACTTTTCCCTGGAGTCGCCTGGCGCTATCCTGTCCTCCCCTCACCCCCGCCGGAGTCCCCTGGGATGGGACAGGGAGTAGCCCTGGGCCTGGGGCGGGGGCGGGGGGGTCCAAAAGGTAGGCTTGGGTCCCACGCCAACGGTTGAACCGCCGCTGTCAACAGTCTAAGCCCCGCGGGCACGGCGCGAGGAAACTCACCGGCTCTGCTTCGACGCGCGGGGCGGGGGTGGGCTGGAACCCGGACCTTGCGGACAGCCCCGAGCCCTGACTGCCCATGAGGGGCGGTGGCCGCCCTCTCAACGGCCCCAACGGACGCGGCGCTGCCCGGGGTGTGCGGGCGCCCGCCGGGACTCCGCGCGCCGGCGCCTCCCCCGCGTCCAGGCTGCCCTTCCAGGCACGGAAAGTTTGAGTGATCCCCCAGCCCAGGACGTGGGCGAGGTTAGGCGCTTTGACTGTGGCAGTCCTCGCCTCTCCCAAAGGCCTACCTCCTGCACCCTCCAGGTCAACGTCCAGGAGGAAGCGGGGTGAGGGCAGGGATGTTTAAAAGTTGCTTTAAAAGATGAAACTTGGCTCTTTGCATCTCCTGATTTGCCTGCTGTAGCACATGACTTCGACAAGATGTCACCTTCCACAGTACATCTTGCAGTCCCTAGGCTGAACTGAACGAGGATCAGCATTTCAGAGTGCTTTTCCCTCAATGGGTCCCAGCGCCAAAAAGTTTTTCCCTCCTCGAAAACCGTTAATCTTACACAATTTGACAGCGAATTGCTTGGTCCAGGAGACTGCTCCACTACCTGAGATAGGATTTCTTCCTTGCAGAAGGTTGCTTTTAGCTTGTTACACTAGTTCCCTCTGCTTTGAGTGCAAATCAAACGATTTTATTAATTTTAATCGATTTTTTAGGGTTTTTCTTTGCATTTGTAATTAAAAAGTTAGATTGTCTGAGATTGGGAAGCTGTATGTTACTTGAGAACACTTTGAATCAGCTCTCCAAAGACTGTCAGAAGCATATACTACATACACTTTTACCATTCATTAGGGAGAAGCGAATCTTCCTTCTGTGTCTAAATTTATGGTTCACCTAGAAAGAGTCTTCAATAAATTGTGTTGCTTATTGGTACCTGGGACTCTCTGACACTGGTTTATTTCAGTGATTTAGATTAACCAGCCTTACTCCAATGTGAAAGAGCTGTGGACCGAATAACCCCCTAAAAGCATTTGGATACCAGATGTTAGAAAGTGTTTTAAAATTATATATAGGGCAGATACTTGAATTCACAGCATTTCAAACCAAAAACTTAAAAGCCGTGCAAAAGGCTTAACCCAAGACTCTGGTTTAAATCCTTGCTTCCCATTTCATGTTAGGAATTGGAAATATCACATGTTAGACTTTCTTTCACAGAGCACCAACTTGACCAGAACCGCCCTTTAGATCTCAGCGTTTTCCTTAAGGGGTCACGGAGACAGATGTTTTTGCTAAAGTGTTTTCATGTTCTGCTGGGAGCCTGGCAGCAAGAGTTAAAACTGTCTTGAACACATAACATATAGCTGCACAGTACAGTACACATTTATTTTATACATTTATGTATGTATGCATTAAGAGATCCACTTATTTAAATAGATGTTATGTATAAAGCGTAAATATGCATGTATTGAGTTATGTTTTCTGCGCATAGCACTGTGCTGAGGTTATAGCATACCAAATATTTATTTTAACAAACACATGTGTTTCTTAGTTTCATGCAGAATTGTTTTAAAATAATTTATTTGAATATTTCAACCAGCTGAGCATAAGAAACTTGCCACTGACTTATCACCTTTCCTTTTCTAGTTTTCTAAATTCACAAATGTTTCTCAGTTTAGAATAACTTATTCAAAGAATAATTTCTACCTATGCAGAAAAAGTTACCGAGATTGACAGCCAGATTATCATACAATTTTAGAGTTGGAGAAACCTTAAGATTATCTTGTCTGGCATCCAGAGTCCCAGCTGTAAAATCCTGGGGCACTTCTACCACTTGAATATGCACTCTAATGAGGAGCTTAATATTTTTCCAAGTAGCCATTCCATTGTAAACAGCTCTAAATAGTAGAAAATTGTCTGCAATTTTCTCTTCAAGACACGCTATTGTTGGTTTGAACTTGGAGGTCTTCTGGAAGTCTCAGCCCTATGACTTTGGCTTTTGCTATTCAAGACGAAATTCTGTGATTCTGCCTGATTTTTATGGTTCTCTGATAGCAGATTTCTTTTGCTGTTATTTTCTCTTAATATTTTAGAATAAAGTTGCTTTGAAATTTACAGTTAAGTTCTGGTTTCACCACTTACTACCTGTGTGATCTGAGAAAGTTATGTTTAGCTTCAGTTTTCTCAACTGTAAAAATAAATGGGGGGAAATAGTTATGACTATAGGATTGTTATAAGAATTACATTAAGTAATACAAGTGAACTTTGTAAATGGTGAACTGATGTATAATAATGTGTTATGAAAGTTTTTAGAAAAGTACCATAGATGCATATTGGTACTTTTCTTAGTAATAAACTACACATTTTCTTAATCTACAGGCAAAATATAACTTTTACTTTAATTTTGGATTTAGAATTAGTATAAGGACTACAGAAATACCTTGCTGTTACTTTTAACTGAATATTAATTCCCTCATTCATTAAAATGCATGTTAAGTAAATTCTTTCATTCAATGAAGCTGTGTAAATTGTTGACCCTATTATATCCAGACATAAAGGCATTATCCCATTGGCTGGACATTTTAAATCATTTTTAAAGCCTGTCCTTTCTGTTAATGTATTTCTTACCAGTAGGAATTTGGATGCAAAGGACTAAAAGTCAGATTTGATACTACTACCACATTAACCTTTATAGGATTTGGTTCATTATTCTCATCACAGCTACTTCTAAGGTTATTTCTGTTTAATAAGATTTTTAATTAATCTGGTAAAAATGTACTTTTTTGAGACAGGGTCTCTCTTGACCGGACTGGCATATAGTGGCATGCTAATGGCTCACTGCAGCCTCAAACTCTTGGGCTCAGCCTCCTGAATAGCTGAGACTGTAGGTGTGCACCACCACACCCAGCTAATTTTTGTATTTTTGTAGAGATGGGGGTTTGCCATGTTACCCAGGCTGATCTCTAACTCTTAACCTGAAGTGATCCACTTGCCTTGGTCTCCCAAAGTGCTGGGATTTCAGGCATGAACCACCACACTGGGCCAAAAATGTACATGATGGGAGAAATTGTCAGCTAAATAGTGTCAAATACAGACTATCCTTAGGACTTCTAAGCAGGAGAACTGAATGTGTAAAAACAATATTACAAGATACTTTGTTTTCTCTGCACTCACATAAAAATGTTGTAAAGTGGATGTATAGGAGGATCTGTAGACTAAGAAGTTTTGTTAATATACTAGTGCTCAAATTCTGAAGATAATTGTGGTCCCTGGAATTGCCAGTAGTTAAATTATTAAGGAAGCTGAGAAGAGTCTAATCTTCAAATTAAGCTACGTCATACATTATCTGGGCTGTTAGGCCTCTGGTGTAAAAAAAAAAAGTCATTTTTCTCTTTGGAAATAGTGATCCTTATGGCAGCAATTGTGATGTCCCTTTCAAGGTTATGCTGTAAAATAACTCCCTCAGTAGCAATTAACATCTCAGAGTTCATTCATTTTATAAGTGCAAGGACAGCCCCTCTATTCCCTCAGTTATTTTAACTGCCCATCTTCAACTGTTATATTTTTATTAATATATAGAAACCAAACTTGTATGCAGCATCACAGGGGCTTACTTCCTGTGCTTTTCTACAAGGGTGGAACACAGTTAGTTTTCAGTGTTATTCTCCGTACTCTTTCTGAAGATACTCAGTATTGTAGGGCATTTTAGATACAGCCATATGTGGAATTAAAGGCCTCAGGGATTCCTCTTACTTTTCCTCATACTGTGCTTTCCTAATCTTACACTTCACTCTTATTGAAGTTTATCACTTTTTCTGCCTGTTTACACGTTTGTTTGCACATTGTATAATTTATATTTGTTTGCTTGACATCAACCTAGAATGATACCATCTCACTGGAGATTCAAAAGAATAGTTATTTTAACAACTGGCAATTGTTAAAAGCTTTATTCTGATGCACACTGAAGGTGGAGAAATAACTATTCTTTTGAATCTCCACACCCAGAGACTGGTGGTGGGGAGCGGGCAGGGAGGCATTGCTGATTTTTTTAAAGTGATTTAGATGACTCCAATGTGCAATCAGGGTAGAAAGCCCCTAATTTAGGTAATTTATAAATGTACCCCTTAACATTGGTTTGGCCTGATCTCTTAGTATTTCACTGTTAACACTTTGCTTCAAAATTCAGATGCATATATTCTTAACCTGATATCTTCTAAATTTCCAATTTATGGTGAAACTTAATTTTTCCAATTCCTTGCCAGCTCAGTTTTTCTAACACTTGGTGTAATGTCTTGTCTGAGACATTTTTGAAATCTATTAATCATTGGCTCCTACTCATCCACAAGCTTGTTCTGCCGCTGCCACTAGCAATTATCTTTATGTCTACAAATACCCTGGCCATCATAGTCAACACTTTAAATTCTTTGTTAAAGTATAGTTGAAGGTCATAGGCATTCAATATATCTTTGTTGTTGACCCAGATGAAATCGGTCATGATTTATAGAAGTGATCCTATCCTTTATCATCAGACACGGTTGGCTGTTGTTTGCTGACCCCTGTGTTAGCTATGCATATTCTTAATATCTAATCCCTTTATCTCCCTGTGTTTTAGTTGCTGCAATGCACCAGATTTCAGAAAAGCGGAAACAAGTTGTGATTAGTAGCATATCATCTCATTCCTCAAGTATAAGATCGACATTTAAACCAGGTGTAATTTCTCTGATGCTTTGATAGATGTCAAAGTGTCGTATCTTTAAAATTTGATATCCTATTAATATCTAACTATATTCTTTTTTTTTTAGTAATCTATAGATCTATACTTAAAAATGATGAAAAACGAAGATTAGCAGGAGAGAGACGGAAAGAGAAAAAAAGACAGCAAGGTGGTATATTTTAGACCTTTTTCAAAAATAAAAATGAATTTTATGTTATATACTGCGAAGTGTTTTTAACTTCTCCTCATTTGTTTATATGATAGATTATGATTTTTTTTTTTTTTTATGAGACAGAGTTTCGCTCTTGTTACCCAGGCTGGAGTGCAATGGCGCGATCTCGGCTCACCGCAACCTCCGCCTCCTGGGTTCAGGCAATTCTCCTGCCTCAGCCTCCTGAGTAGCTGGGATTACAGGCATGCACCACCGTGCCCAGCTAATTTTTTATATTTTTAGTAGAGACGGGGTTTCACCATGTTGACCAGGACGGTCTCGATCTCTTGACCTCGTGATCCACCCGCCTCGGCCTCCCAAAGTGCTGGGATTACAGGCGTGAGCCACTGCACCTGGCCATGATTTTTATATTATGTATTATTTTGGGTTAAATCCTTTTACTAAATCAGGTAAGGGAGGCCCATGAAAATTCTTAGTCAATCAGATGCACCCGTGGGGGACTCTGAATAGTTAGCTAATTATACACACACACACACACACACACACACACACTGTACACACACACACAAAGCAGTGAGGAATTAATTCTGCAGGTGCTAGTGGCTGAATCCAGTATTCGAAAATTCTTTAACTAAATCGTTTAATTTTTGAAGGAGTAGTTTATCTAAGTTCTGATTTTCTGAAAACTAAAGTCTGAAAATTTCTTCAATGTTTGTAAAGATAATCAGAATAAGATTTCAGTAAAAGTGATTCTAAAAATGAAAATAAGTTGCCAATAACCCTAACATAAATAAGATGAAAAGCATGTTACCAACTTATAAAAAGATTATCCTTTTAGATCCTAATTTATACAGAGTCACCCTTCAGAAGCATTTAGTGACAGAAAATTTTAATATAGGAAAAATTGTGCTCTCCTATAATATGGTACATAGCTAAGTCCGTTAATGCAAAACTGGCATGTTTAATATGGTCTGCATAGATGAGGACTTTGAAAGAAGTTTCTTAGTAGAAGGAAACAAAACATATATCCTAGCCATGTGGTTTTTAAAAAGTTTTATTTTAATATACAGCATATTAATATGGTGGGGTTTGACTTTAACTCCAATCAGCAGAAATATCACATGAAAGAAAATATTTTTTCTTAATTTGGAATTGTAGTTTGCACAGGATGAGAGACAATCCAGTTCTCTAGAAATTAAATGAATACTCAGTGAAAATGGTTCTTCAGTGGCTACCTCTGTTCACTTTATAATAAATCTTTAGTTACTAGCACAGACTAGCACAGATTGTGTTATTTTAAGAAAGAGAATGAGATATGTTAACTTTTTCCTTCTGTGTGTGTAACGTGGAAAACCTAAATATTTTCTTGGTTCTTACGCATTGAAAATGTGTTCGGAATATTTCAGCCAATAAGGAGACACAGCTACTTGAAAAAGAAAGACAGACCAAGCTCCGATGCCAGCAGCAGACGGAGGTAAAAATGAGAAAGTACAGGGAGCGACAAGAGAAAGATGAACGAAGGAGAAGAGCTGCAGAAGAAAAAAGACACCAGAAGGATGAAGCGTTAAAGGTACATAATTTTACAGCCTGTGCGTGAGAAGATAGACTGTGTTGCCTGAGTCTGGAATGTTTTCTTAGGCCTTCTCTGCAGTACTGGCCCTGTAGAAAGGGAACCAATCCCAGCTCGCTCTTGCTCGCTTCCTCTTCTCCTCAGTATAACAAGCTCTTACTCCTCTCCTGGTAAGATCCCAGGACCTTAGAACCACTAGCCCAGGGAAGGAGGAGCCTTGCAAATCCAGGAATAAAGCCCTATCCACCTTCAGGACTTGGCATATGAGGAAGCTGTGGCCTGGGGTTTATTCTGAGTGGCTCTGTTGTCTCATTGCCTACAGAATAACGGCAGACCCCACTGTCTGACCCTCCCAACATGCCCTCATCTGACCCATGGTTCACACTGCTTTAAGAGTGTGACTCCCCAGCCAAATCAGGGCACTTGCTCTCCCTTTCAGCATTCCTGGCTCCCTCTGGTGTGCACTCATACTCTCTCCCTCTCCACCCTCTGCCCCCATATTCCTCACTTTCCCTTTCCTGGCAGGGACCCTCTGGACAGTGGTTCAGAGTCAGCATCCTTGCTCTTGTTTTGTGGGACTGCCCCTCTCTTTTCCTTTCTGGATTCTCTTTTGCTGTCTTCGGCACTCTGTTGGGATGAGTCTGTGGCTTTGTTATGCCCTCTCTTTTTCACTTCTTTCCCTTTTCAGTTTGTCTTTTGTTTATACTGGACATCTGGCTACCTGTCTCATTCTGTGATTCTCTCTGACACCAAATTTTTCTCTTGCAGGTCATTTCACTACTTGATTTGGAGTATGCTTGACTGCTTCTGAATCTAGCGCGGTCTCTCTCACCGTTCTCTATCTTCCCAATGTTCTCACTTTCTCTTTATTCCAGGGATTCTTAAGTGTCCCTGAATAAACCTTAGTCTGTCTTTGGGTCTCTATCTGACTCTGGCCATTTTCTGCCTGAGGCAGCTTGCTTTTCTTTCTTCTGTCTTTGTCGTAGCTTCTGTTTTTCCCCATCTTTGGACTCTCTGTCTGCCATTCTTTCAGTGTGTTCTATTTTTATTTGCCTCTCTTATTTTCTGTCACTCTAATATTTGCATTTCTTTTTCTCTCCTTTTCTTTTTGGTTCCATTTCTTCCACGAAGAAGCTTCTTGTCTTCCTCTGTGGTACTCACTTTCCTCCCTCCTCATCCATACTGTTGCTCTTGTACGTGCTTCCTCTCCAGCCCTGCACCCTATCTGGAGAGCTTCCTGATTCCAGAACACCTCTTATGCCACTTCTTCCCCATACATGGTGTACTATCTGTCTTTCTAAACCTTTTTCTGTGGTTTATGCTCTGTTTCATGTTCCACTATTTGGTAGACTCATTCCGAATTTCTGTCATTTTCCATCATCTTCTGTGAAACATCTCCTTATTTTACTTATCTGTGGTGAAGAGATGAAGGCCAGAGAGAGAGAGAGTATGAACTAAGTAAAGATAGTTTGAGAACCGAAGGAGGTGAAATATAAACTGTGTGTAGAGTGAGGGGGAGTGCATGGAGGAGAGAGTCCCAGGGACTGAGACCAAAAAATAAAGACTATCTTATAGAAAGACGAAGCTGCCAGAAAGAACAGAGAAGAGAGTGCAGCAAAATGACACTGCAGACAGAAAGGGAGCCACAGACATGGCAGGAGAAGGGGCAAAAGAAAACCCCAGAGAGCTAGTGTGGGGGAGTCCCAGACAACACAGGGCATGTGCACTGTAAGTAGGCTACATATAGCAAAAGAGGAATTCTGGAGAGCAGAAAAAAAAAAGACTCAGTGGTGCTGAGGACGGATAAGTGTGGACAGGAGGTGTATATGAGATGGGATAGGAACTTCCATGTGAGTCCTGGGTGGCCACAGTGTGAGAAGGGACCTGGATGAGAGCACAGTAGGTAATGCCTTTAGAAACAGTGGAATAGAATCAGAAATAGTTTAATAATACAAGATTAATCTTTGGTTTTAGTCTATTATAGTTTCAGGGTTTCTAAGTAATTCAGAACAACTGCCTTTCTGTTAGATAATATAATTTTCAAATATTACCATTAGATCAACTTTATTTTAAGAATTGCAGTTGCTTTTCTTCTCAGAAGGTATGGCTGCTCTCCATTTTCCTAGTAGGTTTATCTTTGCCCTTGGTAGAAACAGTAGAGGCTTTGTAAGGATGATGTTTGCTGTGAAATGGTTGTTGATAGGGAAGAATAGAAAACCTCTGGCCCTAAAAGTTGATTTGCTTACCTGAGTTCATGGTATGGTACAGTACAAGGATGAGAAATATTTGAGAGAAGCGCTCACTTCTGGAAGTGGAGTTGTTTTGCTGCAGCATGGCATTGATTTTGTATAGTGTCTTGACCACTTTAAGTTAAAGTTGAGGTCAAGACAAATACATTAATTATCTTTTTTGAAACTTTATTTTTATTAACACCAGAATTTAAGCTGTTACAGATGAGAGTATAATAGGTGATTCTCGTATAAATTTAACTTATATGTGTGCTGATTTTTTCCCCTGCCTCGTTCCACAAAGAATTCAGGTGACTTAAAAATGCATACCACACCAGATGATAAAATAAATGGTTGAGGGAATCAAGCAGAGGGGAAAATTAAGGTAGGCAATTAAAACATATAGTATGATTAGCATACACAAAAGCATACCAATCAGTTTTTGTACAGTTGCTAGAAATAGGCTACAAACTTGGTTCTAAATTTCCTAATGATACAAGCAAGGAGGAAGGCATGGTCATTTTCTCAATGCAGGGTCCATAAGATAAAAAAAATGAGTTACTTAGGAGAAGCACTGGTATTGATTGATAGCTGAGGCATGTCTCCAATTATTTTAAACTTTTACCTGATACAGAAATTTGGTGATGGTTTATTTTATAAACCACACAACAAAATTATACTGACTAATATAATGAATATGTAAAAATATGTGGGCATTTACTTTAAATAGGAGCAATTTAGAGCCATTCTTCAACGAACATTGGAAAGAAGGAGACTTACTAATGAATATCAACAAAAAAGATGGTCATGGGGAGTCTCTGCCATGGTGAATTCTGAGAACAAAACTGGTAATTAATGCATCTGTTAAATTTTAAGTTCATTTATGTTCTTGATTAAACACTGGCTATGAATAGAAGCTTGCATTACAGCAAGGTTTTAGTCTTTGTATCCTAAACAAAAATACTATAAATGGTAAATTTAAATTTGTGTCATTTGCCATTGTAAAAGAAACAGGTGACATTTTATAGTAGCTTTTATTTAGCTCAGTATACCTACAGTCTTATGGAAACTTATAATCAGCAGAAAAATGATGAATTGGTGAATAATAACTAAGCTTTACACAGCTTATTGAATACATATTTTAAAAAATAAGTCTGCCTTATCTATTATTGATTCAGTGTAAATTTTCCTATGTGTTCATAATTCTACATAATTTCAAAAAACAAAAGCAAAATGTATACAGTTTAGAAGGATTGGCCAGGTACCGTGGCTCATGCCTGTAATCCCAGCACTTTGGGAGGCCAAGGCCAGCATATCACTTGAGGTCAGGAGTTTGAGACCAACCTGGCCAACATGGTGAAACCCCTGTCTCTACTTAAAAAAAAAAAAAAAAGGAATGACGGGTAGTGAATATTTTGAACTTCAGTAATGTAAGTCTGTGCTCCATAGAACTATATCATGAAAACTCATTTGGTTTCAGTTAATGATGCTTTCCTCCTTGAAATGTGATTACAGTAAGTGTTATGTCTTTTCTCAGCCAATAAACGATCTCTATCTACTGAAAAACTTGAAAAAGGACCTTCTTTTGCTCTTAACAGACAAATTCCTTTGACATCTGAAGTCCTTGAAACTTGCTTTGCCAAAAGTAAGTAGTTATTTTATGTATTCTACTGAATTTCCATTTAATGAAATTAGTTTATAATTTTACAGTACCACCTATTCGAATTGTGGAACATTTAGGTTTATTTCAGAATACCATGTTGTTTTACAGCAGAAAGAGAGAGATAGTCATACTTATTTTTTTTTTTTTTTTTGAGACAGAGTCTTACTTTGCTGCCCAGGCTAGAGTGCAGTGGCGGCTCACTGCAACCACTGCCTCCTAGGCTCAAGCAATTCTTGTGCCTCAGCCTCCCGAGTAGCTGGGATTACAGGCATGCACCACCCCGCCCAGCTAATTTTTGTAATTTTGGTAGAGACAGGGTTTCACCATGTGGGCCAGGCTGGTCTCAAATTCCTGACCTCAAGTGATCCACCTGCTTTGACCTCCCAAAGTGCTGGGATTACAGGCGTGAGCCATCATGCTTGGCCTTGTATTTTCATTAATATACTTGTTTCATGATGTTTGTCTTAATCATATCAGATTGGATTATTGAGCCTCAGTAGTGCAAACTGAAACAGACTTTGGCCAAAAGACATTGCCATTAAGTGGCATAATTATTTATTTTAAAAATTCATATTCTAGCCAACCTACAAATGAAATCATGTTTTTTAGGGACTGGTTAGACTAGTTATTCAATTTCCATTAAATATTGTGAATATTACCTCATTTAAGAAAAATAATAGCATATATATATAGCAGTGGACAAGTTGATCTGCATTACATATATCGTGTTTGTTATTCACCATTATCTTAGAAAATTGACAGACAAGTATAATTACCTTCCTTGTTTTGTAGTTAAGACTCCAAGAAATTCAGTGACTTCCATTCTAACATCCTTTTCTATGGTTTATATTTTGGTCATTTTATAGATGGATCATGATAATTAAATTGTACCTTTCATTTATAAGTCAACATTTTCCCCCAAAAGCAAATAAAGTGATAATGATGTTTAATGATAGATGTATTGCCAAGCTCCACTTTATAACTCTTCCTAGTGGCAATACAGAGTTGTTTTAAATATAGCAAAGTTATCTACTATGGATAATTTAAATATCTTTTTGCTCCTGATGTTTGCCCTTTTAATTAGTGTTCCTTATTGAAAGAAAAATCTATACCCGAGTGTGTGTCAATAACCACGTCTGGCTTGTAGCACATGGTGCCTCTCACTGATAATTGAAATGGATTAGGCAACCATACCTTCAATCCAAAAAAAGAGATCCTTTTTCTTTCTAGAGGAAAGAAAGGAATGTTCTTGAGAGGAAAAAGACAGAGCAAACAAATTCCACATCATTCCCTTAAACTTAGCCATTAAAAAAAGATGAAGAAAGACAGCTTTTGTGCCTTATGAATTGAAAAAGGCATAATTATAGTTTGAATTTTAAAATGTTTGTTTTGCATTATTAGGTTTCTCGACAATTTTTGAGCAATGCTGATTGCTATAAAATTCTAGTACAGCAAAAGATTTTGGATATCATTTAAAGTAATTAATTGTAGCAGTAGTTAACCTTATGAAAAAGATTTCCATTTTTGCGTAAAACAATATAGTTTTTAATATGTTTAAAAGTAATTCTAGGGGGAAAGGATTTTTGTTCAAACTGACTTTATGCTATTTGTACTTTTAGGACTCTTAATATTTCAATGATGAACTTGAGAGGTCTTCCATTTTATTGTCAGTCTGAGTATATCACGTTTTCTCTTGTATTGGCCTGAGAAAATTTCATCCATTTACCACCTCCACCCTCAATATGCTTTCCCAAAGCACTTTTATGTGTAGTCTGGGTTCATTTATAGATTAATATGGGGAGATTTTCTCTGTCACCTTGCTTATAATATGGTAAAATTGATTTATTATTCACCAGCTAAATCCTTTAGAAAAATTAGATAACATTAATTGCAATGCCATGTTTATGTACTTTCATTTTAATATATCTTAATTGTTCCACAAGCATTGACTCTGTTTACTATCTAATTGCTTTCAGGAATTAGCAAAGATTTATTTCATAGACAGTTATTACATATTTAATATAATGAGCAAAAGCCTTATTAATGAGACATGTAAAGAGAAGGGACAGATTATGACCTCAAGATAATAATTATTTAAATTGTAATGTGAAAGAGTAATTCCAAATAAAACTTTTAAAATGATTTCTTTATTAGTTTTTAATATAAGAAGGTATGCGTGGAAGATACTTTGTGACATAACTTGCTTACAGGTATAATATATTGCACACTCTGAAATGATGATTTCTAGAAAATAAAATCCATATTGGCAATGTCTTACCTTTAAATTGAAATAAAACCTGGTCAATACAGAGAGATCAATATTTTAAACTCAAATGAAGTTCATAATCTAACCTGTAATATTTTAAATAACCGTCTTAAATCTTGGTTGATTCAAGTAGTCTATTTTTGTGACTACTCATTGCTGATTCATAATAACTGCTCACACCATTTTGTCATTTCTTGCAGTATGCTCGTGAAGGATACTGACTTAATCACATGATCAAACCACCTCTGCAGTTCATGCTGCTCAATCACATTATCAATTCAAGGAATTTTCAGATCGCACTGTGTTGTTAACATGTACTTTCGTTTACAAATCCCCAAAAGAGAAATTATTATTGTCTTTTGAGACAGAGTTTCACTCTTGTTGCCCAGGCTGGAGTGCAATGGCACAATCTCAACTCACTGACCTCCGCCTCCCGGGTTCAAGTAATTCTCCTGCCTCAGCCTCCTGAGTAGCTGGAATTACAGGCATGCACCACCACACCTGACTAATTTTGTGTTTTCAGTAAAGATGGGGTTTCTCCATATTGGTCAGGCTGGTTTTGAACTCCTGACCTCAGGTGATCCACCCACCTTGGCCTCCCAAAGTGCTGTGATTACAGACGTGAGCCACCACACCCGGCTAAGAAATTATTTTTTAAACAGACATTTCTCAGTATTCTGAGCTAGAATATCTTATATGAAATAAAAGTGTCTACACGGAAGCAGATTATTTTTTCTTGGGTTGCTTAATTCATGGCATCTATACCAATGGTCAATATTGATTTTTATTTTAAAAATACTAGTTATAACTATGTAACTTGTAAGGTCCAGGACCTCAGCCTCTGAAAGCCATTTTTTGGCCATGCAGCTGAAGTCAGATGCTAGAGCTATTAATAACATTAAACTTGATATCAAAAGAATGGCTCCGTAGGGTAAAACACTGACAGTCTGTTAAAGCCTGTAAGCTGATACATGTATAACTCAGATAATTCATTTTCCTTATGTTAATAACAAATATCTTTTTATTTAAATGATTGATATTGGAGCTTGGTGTTTTCTTCATTTTGTATTGGTGTGTGCTCATGTATGTGTATACCTGTGTGTATACATATATGTGTTTTTAAAATATATGCATATATAACAAAAAACAGTAGTTATAACTAAAGTATAAATTACTTTTAAGTATTAGGCATGTCTAAAGGGTTGTATGCTTGTAATTTGGGAACTCTGATGTCAGTATCATCATTTTACCTCTTAATTTTTACCATTTTCTAAATAATTGTATTTCATTTCAGATAAAGAATAAACTCACTTTAAGTATGGGGATATAGACTTTCTGCACATTATTTGAAATTAAATCTTATAAGCAAAGTAGAGAAGATAAAAAATATTTGAAAAAGGAATGTCTCACTCCTGAGATAATTAGTAGTTTATGAACACTAATATTTCTTTGTACTTGATCTCTAGGAAAAACCAACAAGGAGAAAAACTTGTCTTTAAATAAAAGAAATACCAAGGCACATTCATCTGCTGATACAGAACAAGTGGAAAAGAAGCCAGGTGGTTAGTTAATTCTAAATACAAATTTTAAGTAGTGATTTAAAAGAGGTATTTTATGTCAACATTGAATTGCTTGAAAAATCATTTCCAAAATTGGAAGCCAAAATATTCCTTCTTAAACTAAAAAAACATGCTTTGATGCCATATCTATTTGGCTAAAGCTAGAACAATCTGTCTATAAATGAGTGTATGTAATTCCTCCCATCATCTGACAGGGGGTGGATAATGCCAGCTGAGGAAATAAATCACAGAATATTGGTATAGATAGCTGTGTATTGGAGGATTTGATTCACTTCCAAGATTTGATTAATTTGGATTTAGAAGTTTAAATTCCCGGCCACATTTTGAACTTCAAAACTTTGCTCTTGCTTCATAGCATTACCCATATACATCCTTTGTGCATATTTTCACTGCTGATTATTCACAGAATTTCACAGTGATTACTAAAGTACTTCTTTATATAAAGTAGGTTTTTTTGTTTTTTTTTTTTGTTTGTTTGTTTGTTTGTTTTTGAGATGGAGTCTCACTCAGTTGCCCAGGCTGGAGTGCAGTGGCGCCATCTCAGTTCACTGCAACCTCTGCCTCCTGGGTTCAAGCAATTCTCCTGCCTCAGCCTCCTGAGTAGCTGGGATTATAAGCACCCACCACCACAACTGGCTAATTTTTGTATTTTTAGTAGAGACAGAGTTTTGCCATGTTGGGTCTCACTCAGTTGCCCAGGCTGGAGCGCAGTGGCGCCATCTCAGTTCACTGCAACCTCTGCCTCCTGGGTTCAAGCAATTCTCCTGCCTCAGCCTCCTGAGTAGCTGGGATTACAAGCACCCCCTACCACACCTGGCTAATTTTTGTGTTTTTAGTAGAGACGGAGTTTTGCCATGTTGGCCAGGGTGGTCTTGAACTCCTGACCTCAGGTGATTTGTCTGCCTCGGCCTCCCAAAAAGTCCTGGGATTACAGGTGTGAGCCACTGCACTGGCCATAAAGTAAAACCTTTCTCTAGCATTTTCCTTTCACGTGTATTTGTTGCTTTTTGTTTCATACCAAAACTCTCCACTTAATTGATTCAGGTCAAATTCTGTTAGAACAAATGTCATTGACACAGGGATCTTTATGAACATGAAGATTTATTGGCGCAAGATATTTACAACAAAATTTACTGTTAATGAAAGAGTTTACTCACTTTCTTGGAGCCCTTGGCAGTGGACTTGACCGTTATGATTTTCAGTGATGTCCATCTGTAGGAATCCTTGTAAAAGTTGTTTTACCATGTGCAACTTTTTTTTCCCAAGTGTGAGTTCCTGTATACACTTCATACCGTGGGGAATGGCTGTGTTTGAATTGTTACCTATACTCCTTCCTTAGAGTTATTTTGGTATGTATGCTGTGGCCTTTCTCCTTTTATTTTGGGAATCTCTTCCTTGAAAGAGCAGTCCAGTCAGATGCCAGTGTTCAATCCTGGTATGTTTTGTGTTGCTGGGAAAGTTGCTATTGAGAGCAGTTTGCATTGCTCTTCCTTGCAATGGAATCCTTTGAATTTGTTTGCATTATATAGCTCATTGCTCATATATCAGTTCTCAAGAGAATAATTTGATCAGTTTTCTGCTCAGCCCAACAAAAGTGTCATTAGCCAAAAGCAGAAGTACTGCTTCATTATCCAGCCCTGAAAAAGATAGTCCGGATAACAGGCATATTGTGGAAAGCCTGATGCTAACACCTGGAGAGGTGTTAGTATTTGCATTTCAAAGCAGGCTTCATTACTGAATTTGTTGTATTTAGACACCAAAATAGCTTGAATCAGTAATTACAAGATTAGTGATTTGACCCAGCGTTTGATGTTGCATATTTATTGTTTGACTTCTAACATGATAGGGCAGTTATCTGGAGAATAGGTAATTTGTAGGATGAGATTGTTAACTCTGGAGGTGGTTGTTAAATTTTAAAGCTGTAGGGGTTTTTAAAGTATAGAAAAACTTCACTGTCAAGGGAGAAAGTTTCCTACTCTACCCTCCTTTTTTCCCTAAAATGTGGAAAAATAGCATAGACCCACCCTTCAGCTTTTAACCAGAGACCTAAGATTGTTCTTAACATAAAACATCTTCAGGGTTGTGTGGACTTTCTCATTTTCTCATTTATAGTTTACATATAGTATTGGACTTGCCTTTGGATAGCAAGACACCCCCTGCCCCAATAATGGAAAGTGCTAACGCACTGTTCCTATGACGTTTTTCTCTTTTTTACCCCTTCCACTTTTTCCTTTCTAGTATATATCCCACTCTCTTTGCTTTTTCTCAGTATTCATATGATTAGTAAAATGAATCTAAATGCTATCACAGACTTTCTTGTAGTGCACCCTTATCATTTTTGCTCTAATTCCTGACTTTTTTATGCCTAGTTATATGTATGTCAGGTTATTTTCTGCCAGTCTCCCCCACCAATCTATGGTGAGATATTTCTATTACCACCGTCCAAAAAAACCTCAATATTTTGTCTTACATGTTTATAGCTAATAAAAATCCAGTTATACTATGTTTTCTGTAGATCAAACTGTTGGTGCTAATGTGACTGTTTAGGCATGTGTAGATGTGTAAATAAAATGCTTTCTCCACTAAAAATGACGGACTAAAAGATAACATTTAATATAGCTAAAAGTTTTATTCATAGGTAGTCAATCTTTCGTAATTTGGTCTATTTTAATAATTTTATAAGATTATGTGAAAATTTGCCACCCGTACATAATGATGAGGTGGCAGATAAATTTAACCAGGTCTTTTTTTAAAATTTAATTTACCAGGTCTTAAGAAAGCCACCTCCAAATACGTTTTTAAAAGTGTAATTAGGCCAGATGTGGTGTCTCACGCCTGTAATCCCAGCACTTTGGGAGACCAAGGCAGGTAGATCACCTGAGGTCAGGAGTTCAAGACCAGCCCAGTCAACATGGTGAAACCCCATCCCTACTAAAAGCACAAAATTCATCGAGTGTGGTGGCGCAGGCCTGTAATCCCAGCTACTTGGGTGGCTGAGGCAGGAAAATTGCTTGAACCTGGGAGGTGGAGGTTGCAATAAACCAAGATCACGCCACTGCACTCCAGCCTGGGTGATACAGCGAGACTCCATCTAAAAAAAATAATAATAATTAATTAATTATATAAGCAATAAATGTTTCATGGAGAAGAATTTTTTAATCGAATCCCCCATTATCCCAGTGTGCTCACTGGCAAGTTAATATTTTTCTTTGCATTTTTTTCACAAAATGAAATAACCTTCTTTTATTTAAACTCAATAGAAGCCATCTTTTATGTCCAAAATATTGCATGTTATTACTCTTAGTGACTGCCTTAATATAGTCCACATTTCCTTTGGAGCATTTGGATGCTATTTGCAATTGTTTCAATATTATAAACAGTATAGTAATTAGCAACTTTATGCATACATTTTTATGTATTTATGTAATTTCTTTTCCTAAGATTAAACCTAGAAGTAGAATTGCTAGAACAAGCAGTATGTACTTTTAATGGCCCCCCCCAGGGAAGATATACAAATCTATACTCCCACCTGTGGTGATGAGGTTGCCTGGTTCCAAACATTGGCATTAACGACTTTCTTCCATCTTACCTGGCACCAATATGATCATTTTTGTCCTCTTCATAGGAAAAATAAAATTAGATTGTTAAAGGTGGAAGGGACCTTGGAGATCCAATTCACTCTGATTAATGTCTCATTACAGTTGTTAGTATGGGTGAGAAAATGCTCTTTCTTACCTTCTATTCTAAAACAATAAACTATGGAGTGTCTTACATAATCACCTATAATGGTAAGATCTCTAGCCCTGGTGAAGATGTTTCGATTACTTTTAGAAAGGGTTGAAGATCTTGTAATTTTTTGTGAAAATTATTCTGAAATATAGTATGATTAAAATAGAAACAACTTACTGCAAACACCAACACTGGAGAAGCATCTTATTTTCATCTGTAACAGGCTATTGCCTTTACAATGACTGTTGTTCATGTTGCTTCTGAAGCACTGACTTTGTGATGGTTCTTTCCTGTGTCATCCAATTCACTAAAATTTCCTGTGTTGTGTGTAATCCCCGTGATGTCCTAATAAACAATCTCTTTTCTCTGTTCCTGTTCTTATACTGTATATGTGGTGTGTCCTTATCTTGTCAAATTTCTAGCTTAGGGAATTTAATTATCTGTCCTCATTCACTTACAGGCGGCCCCAAGTATGTAACGCAGTATGTCACTATGCCACTGCGTAAATGTACTAGTGATGAATTGAGAGCTTTTATGTTTCGCATATCGGCAGCAAAAATACCTCCTCAAACTAAAGTAGAAGTTCCCTCAGAAGAAGTAGAGGCACCTCCCAAGACACCTCCCAAGAGTATGGATGCACCCTCCCCAGGGAATATCAAAATAATTTCCAACAGAAAAATAGAGGCAATCCCCAAGTTTAACTTTTACATGGACACAATCCGTGAGAAGAGCATAGACTTATCCCCTGTGGTGAGTGGGGACGTGTCATCTGTCATGAGCACAACTGATTCTGAGTGGAGCACGGACACATCCTCCAAGTTGAGCATAGAAGCAGCCTCGAAGGTGCACCTGAGAACAGTTCCCAAGGTAAGCATAGAAGCATCTCTCGAGGTGAGCCCGGAAGCACCCCCAGAGGGGAGCCTGGAAGCACCTCCCAAGGTGTGTGCAGGAGCAGCCCCCAAGGAAAATGTGAAAGCATCATCCAAAGAGAACACGGAGGCAGTGGTGAAAGCGTCCCCAGAGTCGAGTGTAGAAGCGCCCCCAAGGCATCCCTTGAAGCAAGCTTGGAAGCCTCTCACAAGGCAAAAGTGAGAGATGCTCTAAGGGTTTGTCAAGTGTCTGTTATTGACAGGTTTTCTATTAAAATATGTACATTTTATTGTATACTTCACAGTAGGTCAGGTTTTACAACATAACCAGCATATTATTTATAGTATTTTGCAATATAGTTAATAAAATAGGCTAACTCACTTAAACTAAGAATTTAAACTCTCTGATGTTCATTGGACCACTTTTCCCCCAAAGCTGAAATATTAGTGAGTCTTTATTAGAAGGGAGAAAATGTAAGTTTATGTGAACTCTGTTTCTAAACTCTGAAGAAATGTTTTTCAAGAAATGTTTTAAACCCTGAGTTAGGATTTGGAAATAGAGTTAGGTTTTGAAGCATAATATGTCTTTTAAACCTATTACTTCTGTGATCTCCTCGAATTGTGTAATATAAATTGTTAGTCCAGAAGAAAATACCGCTGTCCTGCTTCTCATGCTCTAAAAGAAAATTGGAGTTTAAAGAATTCTAATTGTGTTTTATTCAGAATGTTTTTCTGTTTAAAAAAAAAAAAAAGCCAGCTGCAGTAAGAGAATTGCTAGTAACGTATCTTACTGTGTTTATCTGTTCAGAAATCAGAAACGGACCTACAGGCCTTAGACCGTGTTCCTAAGAAACATCTATCATCATACGGTGAATGTTATACATCGTCGTTTTCTCCTGAAAATGTTTGTGCTCCACCATCTCCTGTCAGTTCTAAGTAAGCAGCTTATTTGCAACTGTTCCTGATAGGTATTTTACCAGAACAAATTTCATGTTAATGTCTGATGAGTGAAATAATAGAGTGTGCATGGTAACACAAATGTAAAGGGGAAAAGCCTGTAAAAAGGGATTTACTGGGCCGGGCGCGGTGGCTCAAGCCTGTAATCCCATCACTTTGGGAGGCTGAGGCGGGTGGATCACGAGGTCAAGAGATCGAGACCATCCTGGTCAACATGGTGAAACCCCGTCTCTACTAAAAATGCAAAAAATTAGCTGGGCATGGTGGCGCGTGCCTGTAATCCCAGCTACTCAGGAGGCTGAGGCAGGAGAATTGCCTGAACCCAGGAGGTGGAGGTTGTGGTGAGCCGAGATCGCGCCATTGCACTCCAGCCTGGGTAACAAGAGCGAAACTCCATCTCAAAAAAAAAAAAAAGGATTTACTTTTCAGAAAAATTCCAAGATTATAATATCGTCTCATAATATCATCTCATATTTTATACAATTGTACACCAAAAATTAATTAGCAAACATGTATTACTTTTTCTCAGGAGTCAAATCCAAAAGAACCAGCTTTCATCACCTCTGCCGAAACAGTCAAAACAATCAGCAGACCCTTCCCTTCCCTGTAAAATGCCTCTTCAGTGGGACCAATTTGTGCAGAGTGAATCAAGCGCTGATAAAAATAAGAAAGAGTCAAGTAAGTTCTGTCGCTAAGTTTATCTTAGCAACACAGAAAATCTTACTGTATTCTGGGAAAGTTTCACTTCATTTTATTCCCCAATTGAGAGAACTTTAGGGAATTATTTTCCTTATAGAGAAAGAGAGTCTAACCAATCTCTGTTACATTGGAATGTATATTCTCTGTTTGCTTGTCCTTACCAAAGCTTTCTTCTCACCCCTTTGTTTTGAGAAACCATTTTTGGAACTGCTTTTAAAAGCATAGGTCTGGCCAGGCATGGTAACTAACACCTGTAATACCAGCATTTTGGGAGGCTGAGGTGAGAGGATTGCTTGAGCCCAGGAGTTCGAGACCAGCCCAGGCAACATAGAAGAGAGATTCCCTTTTCTACAAAAAAATACAAATATTAGCCTGATGTGGAAAGGATAGGCTGTATATTCTCTTAGGCGGTTAAGGATAAGAATAAGCCATATTATACCATAACTACCTAGCTTTAGGTGGTATACAGCTGTAGTCCCAGCTAGTAAGAAGGCTAAGGTGGGAGGATCGCTGAGACCACGAGGTGGAGGCTGCAGTGAGCCGTGATGGTGCCTCTACAGTCCAGTCTGGATGAGAGAGCGAGACCCTATATCAAAAAAAAAAAGCACAGATCAGGTGAGAGGTTTGGTCTAGGTGATTGCTAAGGTCCCTTCTAGCTCTGAAAGTGATGGTTCTTGGAGAGAGCATATCCACTCGTGGATGAGCAGGTCTCTCCCAGGATTTAGGTTCCTTTCTATATATAGGCCATAATGTGGTTTCCCTTGATTTGTGTAGTATTCCTGAAAGTGCTATATTGCTATATATGCCCATCACATGCATTGTTAATACCCATGGACATTACTTAATTTCAAAAACACACTGGGAAATTTTGTTTTTTTTTTTAGGGAGCTCCACAGTGAATTTTTTGTAACAGAAACAATCATTTAATTATAGATTATTCATTCCTGATGTGTCTTCTCATTTTCATGTGTGATTTATTTAAAATAAATTAGTTATGTAGACCAAAGTATTATAATATGCCTCCATGTACTCACCTTATTTTACTGATAGTCTTGGTTTTATTATCTACTGTTAGCTACTCTATGATCAACCACATATATACACTATTATCAAGGTTTAGCTAAATAGTAATTATATAGTAAAAATGATGCACAAATCTCAAAACGTATGCCAGATGTATTTTTGCTTATTTGAGATACACGTACCCTTCATTTGGATTGAGCATAGCTTGTCTTCCTCTGTGTTCAGTATTTCTTATTCTTTTTTTTTTTTTGAGACGGAGTTTCGCTCTTGTTACCCAGGCTGGAGTGCAATGGTGCTATCTCAGCTCACTGCAACCTCCGCCTCCTGGGTTCAGGGAATTCTCCTGCCTCAGCCTCCTGAGTAGCTGGGATTACAGGCACACGCCACCATGCCCAGCTAATTTTTTGTATTTTTAGTAGAGACAGGGTTTCACCATGTTGACCAGGATGGTCTCGATCTCCTGACCTCGTGATCCACCCGCCTCAGCCTCCCAAAGTGCTGGGATTACAGGCATGAGCCACCTAGCTCCGCCCAGTATTTCTTACTCTTTTCCTGTGAGGTCGGTTGATTCAGTTATTTCAGAACAGCTAAAACGAAAGTATAAGTACATTGTTTCATTTTGGAACAAGCAGGTGTTAAAAAGAAACAAAATGCTACTGCTTTTGTTGAGGTACAGTTTGAGCGAAATCTGTTAAGCAAGCACCTATAGTTTGCTTGTGATTTATACATTTTGGACTATACACCTGTTTTGTTTTTTAATGTTTTGGATTGTGTTGTACTTCTTTGTTGGACTGAGAGATGACTAGCTCCCTAAACTAACTGTTGCACATATTTATTTAAACTAGAGTCTGATAAGAAGAATACTGTACGGTGTATGAATGACGAGATAGAAAAACTTTTTGCCAGGCTACGTCGTCGCATTGCTCGTCGACTAGGATCAAGAGAGGAAGAAGAAGAACTAGAGGAAGAGATGCAGCCAAGGTCAGCACGAAGTCTTCCTTCTTATACTATAAATCTTGAGTGGGGCCCACATTTTTGAAAATCAAAATTTAACCCTCAAGTTATGAATTCTCAAGGAGCAACTGACTTTCTTCAGTGAGGATCAGAAGTGCCTCATTGCTTGTATAGGAAGCATTTCAAGCCCTTGTAAATGGCTAAGGACTGTTGTGTGTAGATAAATGGCACAGTCCTTTTTGGCCTCCATACATCACGTGCCATTAAGGTGTGGTAGGAGGATGCACAGAGATCAAACTCACATTCAGGATTTGATCTCTCAACACCAGAGTGGTATATAAGAATATTTTTCTTTGTGTTCACTAGTGTCAGCCCTTTTCTTTTTTTAAATTGACTTTTAACCTCAGGATTTTAAACCTGAAAATTATACTTACTCCTGTTTTACTTTGGGTGTTTTCCAGGGATCTTTCTGACACCTGTATCTCGTCAGACCGGTGAGTCATTGCTAGGATTCCCTTAGTGCGCAGCAAATCTCATGTACAGTAGTGTGCTTTCAAATTCTAGCAAAGGTTTCTTGCTCCTCCATCTTGAGGCCTATTTCATGTGAGGCCTTATAATGTAAACCTCTGTCCACTGACTGCAGGGAATAACAACACTACTGACTTTGCTTTTAAGTATTTAGTGTTATTTGAAATTATCACATATTTTCCATATGCTTATATGGGCTTGGGAAAAAGAAGTATTATGAATAGCAAAAAACTATAGCCTGAAGAGTATTATTACTCACTTCATATAAACAGAGCTAATGTAGCCTTTGAAAATGCTGAATACTAGGGAACCAGCAGACTCTCCTCTAAGTTATCTCTACAATCCCCACGAGAGATTGGGTGTGAGCATGTATAAATAAGGCCTTTTGGGGGATGTCACATCTCAAAGACAGTTAAGTTTTTTAACAAGCAAATTAATCTATTACTTGATTGAAATATTTTTCTGCTCCTAAGGACTGGTTTTTCTCTTTTAAAAAGGGGTGGAACTGTGTGATTCCTATATAGTAAGAACACAGAAGATGTAGTGACTATGGTGTAAATATAAATTGTATTACTATACACAGGAAGTTTCACGATAAAAGCTCACATAGGACTGCAAGCTGAGTATGGTAGCAATCAAGACAAATACTAAGAATTATTTCAATACTCTCAGGGCCGTTAAGAAATCAAAAGATGTGGAAAAGAAAGAAGCTGAGTTATTGGAAGCAGAAGAGTTCTTGAAACCCGAAGATGGGCAACAACAAAAGGAGACTGAAGAGAAGAAGGGCTGGCCGGATCAGGAAGACCAGGAAACACCACTTCAGGTTTGCTGGCTTGACACTTTTATCAGGGGATGAGAACCAGATTACATCAGTTGGAACCCAAAGCAAAAATATCTGTCTCTGACAAGACATGAGCAGATTCTCTGGCTGCTTTATTTTATTTTATTTTTATTTTTTGAGACAGAGTTTCACTCTTGTCACCCAGGCTGGAGTGCAATGGCATGATCTCGGCTCACTGCAATCTCTACCTTCTGGGTTCAAGTGATTCTCCTGCCTCAGCCTCCTGAGTAGCTGGATTACAGGCATTCGCCACCACGCTCGGCTCCTTTTTGTATTTTTGGTAGAGACGGAGTTTCACCATGTTGTCCCAGCTGGTTTTGAACTCCTGACCTCAGATGATCTCTCCACTTTGGCTTCCCAGTGCTGGGATAACAGGCATGAGCCACTGTACCTGGACTCTGGCTGCATTTTTATGTTACAGTCTCTATTAGCCAGTACCACTGCAGGTCATTGTCAGCCACTCTCAGAAAACCACAGAATGTTTTCCTACTGAAATTAGCAGAAAACAGGAAATTGTGGATTAGTGGTTCTTAATTTGAAATCCAAATTGCTTAAACAGATTCAACATTCTACATTGGTTTCCCCCATCTTTCATTCTGTGGTACCACATACAACTCCACCAACTGGACCTTACAATGTCCCTGTAACAGATAAGATAAACCATAAATACTTTTACAAGTTTAAAATCATTAACCAATAAGAATGTCTCATCTATCTAAAGTCAATCATTGGGTAAATAAAGGCCCAAACTGAGCTCAGACTGTATTCAGTTTGAATTATTATCATAGCCCAATTCATATTCCTGGTTTTTAGTGTGTCATTCACCAGCGTTGGTCAAATGTTTTATATATGACTGTTTATGCCTGCTTTTTTTAGCAAAGTGCCTTCAATAATCCTCTCAGTGCTTTTGAGAAATGTCAGGTTGTTGGCTTCTGTTACTGTGTTAATGGACAGCTCCACAGTCATGTAAATACTTTGAAATAGGGTGGTATGGTGCTTATAAATGTAACCCTGTGGTCCTGAATCCTTAAGATAATGTTTAGCCTAGCTTTGTGCATTCTAATTAGTGCTTTGAAAATTGACAATCCACAAATATCTTATATATAGGAACCTTCATCCAAAAGGTTACATTATTTTGTTACACTAGATAACATTTTACTGTTGAAGTTTTTAAACTAGCGTTCTCTGATGTCACTCAGGTGTCTTGAGATTAAATGATACTTTTATATAAAATTCCTAGGAATGGGACACCAAAATAAAAGCTCAAGAGGAAGACAACAAATACAAGAAAGAAGTCGACAGAATTATGTTACAAAATTTAAAAGAACACCTAGGAAGGAAAAAGGTACTCACTCTCTGTTTAGGGGGACTTGATTTTGGGTTTAAAACAATATTGGGCACCTGATAGCAGCACATTTTTCAAAATCACACATCTGGTGTATGCTAGCCCCTGGTGGTTTCCCCACTCTGTTCTCTTCCTTTTCCAAGGATCTGACCTCTCCTACATAGAAGGCTCTCCTCTTACTAATCATGCCTCCCCATCATGGACCCTTGGTGGTTGTTATAGTGATGCCTCACTATATCAAACCTCTGGTAACAAAACTCCTCTGAGCAGAGTGACTCCAGTCGTGGTAGGGGTTGGTGGAAGTTAAGAATTTCTTCCAAACTTGCTGGAAATTGCAGCAACTACATGGGAAAAAGCAGAAACTGTGGGCCTCTCTGAGAGGCCGAGGCGCAGGCTATTTGTAAGGTAGGACCACATGTGAGCTTATCTGGCAGCCGTGGTCCTGCAGGTACTGCAAGGCTTCTCTGGTAGTAGATTGGTCACCTCGAGGGGGCCAGGGAGCTGCAAGTCTCCTCACTGCAGGGAAAGAAGTATGCACAGGAGAGAGAATTCTGTCATTCCCTAGAATATATTACTCTTCTACCTCCTGTCTTCTCTCTTCATTAACACAGTCTCTAACAGTGTGGCATCATTGAGGTGTATTATTTTCATTAACATTGGCTTCAGGAATCAACTGAAGACTAAAGACTATAATTATGTTAAGACTAAAATTATGTTAAAAGCTCTAATTGGTTTTCAATATGCTTAGTCTAAGTAATGAATTCCTGCATATACAAAATTAGGAGTTAGATGTTGTCATTTGGATATTTGTGTTATAACAAATCCAGCGGTCATCATTCCAGGCATTGTACCGCTAAAACTGGGATTGGGATAGGGAACATAACTGCCACCACAAGCCTTCTGTTGGTAATATTTGTGGTTTTGGAGCAATCACTGCCATTGTTTACCTCTGTGAAATGGGGATAATCAACTCCTTTAGAACAAGTGTTCGGTTTCTAATGTGTTTTTATGTTTGAATTTTTATTTTCCTTTAAACAGAGAATAGAAGAAATTATTAAGTGGATGGGACAGACAGATGTGAATGCCTCCAAGGTAATCTCCATACTCATACCAGCAGTGTATAAGAATGCCTCTTGTTTCACATTATTGCCATGCTTTTCATTTTTGCCAATCTGGTGCTAATGAAATAAAGTGTTACATTTCCATTTCCCTGATAATTAACAAGGTTGACCATGTTTTCATATCTTTAGTTAGCTCTCATGTTTTCTTTTGTGTGAAAGGCTTGTTTTGATCTTTTGCCCAAAACTTTTGGCTTGATTTGTCTCATTTGTAGTTCTTTAAATATTTGAGATACTGCCTTTTTTTTGGTTATGTATTGTAGATGTCTTCTCCCAGTTTACAGCTTATCTTTTCTTTCTTTTTTTTTCCTGGCTATAATGTATAATGATCAAATCAGGATAATTAGCATATCCATCACCTCAGAGGCTGATTATTTCTCTTTTTTTTTTCTTTTCTGAGACAGAGCCCTGCTCTGTCCCCTAGGCTGGAGTGCAGTGGCACAGTCTCAGCTCACTGCAACCTTCGCCTCCTGGTTTCAAGCAATTATCCTGCCTCAGCCTCCCCAGTAGCTGGGATTACAGTGTGCCACCATGCCCAGCTATTTTTGTATTATTAGTAGAGACAGAGTTTCACCGTGTTGGCCAGACTGGTCTCAAACTCCTGACCTCAGGTGATCCACCCACCTCAGCCTCGCAAAGTGCTGGGATTACAGGTGTGTGCCACCACGCCCGGCCAGCTTATCTTTCTTAATGTTGACCTCCACTGGATAGAAGCTTCTGATTTTTTCTTTCCTTTTTTTTTTTTTTTTTTTTTTGAGATAGAATCTTGCTCTGTCACCCAGACAGGGGCACAGTGATACAATCTCGACTCACTGCAACCTCCACCTCCCAAGCTCAAGCGATCCTCCCACCTCAGCCTTCCAAGTAACTGGGACTACAGGTGCATACCACCACACTCAGCTAATTTTTAATTTTTTAATTTGTTTGTAGAAACGGGGTTTTACCATGTTACCCAGGCTGATCTTGAACTCCTGGACTCAAGCAATCCACCCGCCTCAGCCTCCCAAAGTGCTGGGATTGCAGGCTTGAACGCCCTGCCTTCTGATTTTAATGTTGTCGAATTTACCAATATTTTCTGATGACTAATGGGATAACTAATGAAGCCAGGCACCTTTTCATAAATCTTATGGGCCTGTTGGAGATTGTCTTTGGTGAAGAACTTTTTCACGTCATTTGCTTGTTTTGCTGTTTTGTTACCTGCCTTTCTCTGATTGAGTTGTAGACATTTTTACCAACACTAGTTAGGAGTCCTTTGGATTTGCAGGTTTCTTTTTTCATGCCATAGTCGGCCTCACACTCCCCTAATGTCTGTTGATGAATCAGACGGAAGTTCTTCTTTTTAACAAGCTCAAATTTATCCTTTTTTCCCTTATGATGAGTGCTTTTGTGGTCTGTTTCATAATTATTTGTTTACCCCAACGTCATGTCTTTTGATGGGGCACATGTATTCAAGGCCTTTTTCCTCCAGCTTCTGTGCTTTTTACATTCTGTGCTATAAAACTGATGTTTTGTCTGTTTGTAATTACCCAGTTGTGCTCATTTATATTAAATAAAATGAGAATTTACAGTAGAAATGTCATTTCCAGAAAATGCTGGGAGTCATCATGTCAAAGTTCGTTCAACTTATTGGGAGTTTTACCTCAAGCAGCAACCAAAGGCTGGGCACAGTGGCTTGCGCCTGTAATCCCAGCCTTTGGGAGGCCAAGGCGAGTGGATCTCTTGAGCCCAGGAGCTCAAGACCAGCCTAGATAACATAGTGAGTCCTCGTCTCTATAAAAAAATTTAAAAATTATCCAGGTATGGTGGCACATGCCTGTAGTCCCAACTACTTGGGAGGCTGGGACAGGAAGATTACGTTAGCCCTGGAGTTTGAGGCTGCAGTGAGCTATGCTCATGCCACTGCACTCTGTCCAGTGCAAGTCTAGTCAAAACTTTTTAGCTTCAGCAGAATGAGACTTTGTCCCCCACCACCACCAAAAAATAATCAGTCAAAACTTTTTTTTTTGAGACGGAGTTTCCCTCTTGTTACCCTGGCCGGAGTGCAATGGTGCGATCTCGGCTCACCGCAACCTCCACCTCCTGGGTTCAGGCAATTCTCCGGCCTCAGCCTCCTGAGTAGCTGGGATTACAGGCACGCGCCACCATGCCCAGCTAATTTTTTGTATCTTTAGTAGAGACGGGGTTTCACCATGTTGACCAGGATGGTCTTGATCACTTGACCTCGTGATCCACCCGCCTTGGCCTCCCAAAGTGCTGGGATTACAGGCGTGAGCCACCCGCCCCCCGACCTAGTCAAAACTTTTTAGCTATTCACTGACTAGTCCCATCCCACCTTAGTTAAGGTTCTGAGAAGGTATAGAACAAATGCCAACCCAAAGCTGTAGTCCCTTGGCTACTGCCCAGAGACATCTTTCATTCTCGAGCGTCTTTTCCAAACTAAAAGACACAGCTGTGGGTACCTGTCTCTATCCTTTGTAGATTCTTGGGGCTAGTTAAAAGAGGTTAGGTTTTTTTTAGCTTTTCATTGAAATGACAAAAGTTAGCCATCAATCCAGCTTTGAAATCTGACTTCGTTGAAATTCTAAACCAGGATGATTGAATATTAGGCATAATCAAGATTTCCTTTTTTAATCATAGGTCACAGAAACGCCCTGCCATGACACATATGAGGAGGCTGAGGCTACCAGTGAAGAAAGTGACACAGACTCATTGAATGAAATATTTCTGTCAGGTTAGTCCCCATTTAGGAGCTAGACTGCCTAGGTTCATATCCACGTGTTCCTCTGCTTTTGAGCTGTGTGGCTTTGGGCAGGTCACTTAACCTTTCTGTGCTGAGTTTTCCCATCTGAAAACAGGGGAAGCTAATGTCCTTTTCCTAGAGTGGACATGAGATTTCAATAAGATAAATCCATGTAATTCTAAGAACAGTGTCTGACACATAAACTCAATAAATATCAGTTGCTGCTGCTATTATTTGAAAGATCATGCTAATAGACTGTAGACATCAGCTCCTTCTCACTTGAATGTGAGGAGACCCAGCATTTCATAGCTCACCTCCTCAAGGCATCCATGATTGACCATAGGTGGAATTCCACTTTCCACTTCATTAAGAAAAATTGAAACCATGCCATAATATGAATGCCCTCTCAAATGTATCAGTGACTCCCTTACGAGTAGGAACGACTTTGTGGTAGCGGTAATTGGCATTTGAGAAAACAAGATTTGTCCATATTTTTCCTGCCAGTGTATATTAAACAGGGGAGTCAGGTCCTCTACTAGGTGTTGGGGATGAAGAAGGGTGGAAAGACATGGCCTCAGCTCGAAGGAGCCATAGCCAGTGGGAAGACAAACATATGAGCAAACCATAATACTGCCACAAGATGATGGGGTTAAAAGAAGTTTGGTGAAAATACAATGAGAACATAGCAGTAGGAGCCTCTCAGTCTGCCTTAGGGCATTGAGGAAAGCCGAAGGTAGGAGGTAACATTAGAGGTAAGATGAAATGCACAAACAGAATTGGCTAGGTGAGTGATCAGGGGAGGGGCAAGAATCTCGAGCAGTTCTTCTCTCTGGCCTGTTATTCTTTCCTAGCAAAGTAAAAACGACAAGTTCCTTAAAGGTAGCCTCTTGGTGCCTCGAGGGCAGGGTGAGTGTATGTGCTGAGCAGTGGCCCAGGACATGGCTTGGGAAAGTAAAACAGCTGTGGGGCTGCTGGGCCTGCCTCCCGGGGGTACCACTACTTGACTCTTCCTGCCTTCAGACAGGTGTCACCTCCTCCCCATGCCGTAAGGGTCACAGCCTTCGCTTTTTCTTGAATTTGTTATTGAAACTCCATATTTAATTGTGATTTTTTTCCCTAGGCACTTTAAATGGCAAAGATCCATCTTCCAAATTGAAAAAGTCAATTAAGAATGTCAAGAAGATGCCACCCAAGCTGGTATTTCTGCAAGACAGTGACATCCAGGTCCATAAAGAGCCAAAGACATATTTTAATCGTGATTTAAAAACCTTCAGACCAAAAAGAACGAAATACACTTCAACACAGGCAGTAATTTCAAGGTGAGTCACTTAGGCAGCTTATCTAAATAAACTTGGCAGGATTATGACTGACATTCTTAGAATGCTAAATAATAGTATCTCTTGAGCTCATGTTTGTACCAAACATGATGTCAGGTATTTGACTTAACAGAAATAAACTCATCCCCACAATAGCCTTGCTAGGTAAGGATCATCATCCCCATTTATAAAGACAAGGAGACTGAGGTGTGGAGAGGCTAGGGGCTTCATTTGCTCAATATCCTGCTATTAAAGGGCTGAGCCCAAATTCAATTCCAGATACATCTGGCTCCAAACTTTACTTTTGTTCATAGTGATTAATGTTGTCTCATAAAGCCGGGCAAGAAGACATTTACTGAGTGATTGCTATCTACCAGGCATTTTATATTACCCGTTTCAATTATCACAACTCTGAGTGTGACAGTAATATCTTCATTTTATTTATTTTTATTTTTTATATTTGTTAAGAGAAGAGGTTTCACCATGTTGGCCAGGTTGGTCTTGAACACCTGGGCTCAAGTGATCTGTCCACCTTGCCCTCCCAAAGTGCTGGTATTACAGGCATGAGCCAGTGTGCCCAGCCATAATATGCTCATTTTCAGTGTAAGAAAACAAGGTCAGAGGTTAGGTCAGGAAAGCAGGAACCAATTCATGGAAAGGGATGCTATTCACCTGCAAGGCCCACAGGAACAGGAGTCTGCTGAGAGGGGCGGTGATGTGGAAGGAGCACTAGAGCTAGAGAACCTGCACCAGTTCTGTCACTACATGTCATTGGCCACATCCTTGACCAATCTGAGGGAGGGACAGGGTTTCTGGAGTCCCACGTGCTTAGCTGCTCCTACTCCTGGTGCTTCCGTGGGACCAAGGGCTTTCTGGAATACAGTTTGAAAATCAGTGTGTCTGTGATCTCTAGGGTTCCTTTTAGCCATCCTGTTCTATGATTCGGAAAATATTTTTTTAATTCCAAGGCATTTCTTAGAAGTTAATCAAAGGACAGAGCTTCTTTTAGGATAGAGCCTTGGTGTGGGAATAATTGGGATTCTAACCAAACTGTCTCTTTCCAGACCATCTACCAAAAGAATGACCAGTCGTACAACAAAAATCAGAAAGGCAGATGAAACCAATACCACCAACAGATCCTCTGTTAGTATGAATTATGAGCAGCAGCATATTTGTGATAAGATTACCAATATTTTAAGTCACGCCAGACTGTCTTTGTCACATTTTTCTCCTGACAGCCACAAACAAAATCTGGAGGATTCCATGACAACTCGCCAAAGTCTTCAGACACCTTTAGACGACAAGAGAAGCAGCAAACCTGTTTATCCTATTCAGGAAGGGCCTCATCTCATCTACCTTTTTCTTGAAAGGCAATTGACCCCGAAACCCCCTCCCCTCCTTCTAGCTGTTCCAGGGCAGTCTTTGCACCACATAGCTTTGGAAGAGAAGAAGACAGTTATGGGTCTGCAGGAATGATGTGAGAGTCTTCCATTAAGCTGGTTTTGAGAGAGTAGAGAGTAGATGACTTGATTCTAATTTTTATGTCCCACATTTCCTGCCAGATATGAAAAATAACTTCTAGCCAGATGTGGCGACTCAGGCCGATAATCTCGGCACTTGGGGAGGCCAAGGTGGGCAGATCACTTGAGGTCAGGAGTTTGAGAGCAGCCTGGCCAACATGGTGAAACCCTCGGCTCTACTAAAAGTATAAAAATTAGCTGGGTGTGGTAGCGCATGCCTGTAATCCCAGCTACTTGGGAGGCTGAGGCAGGAGAATCACTTAAACCTGGGAGGCAGAGATTGCAGTGAGCCGAGATCACACCACTGCACTCCAGCCTGGGTGACAGTACAAGACTCTTTCTCAAAAAAAAAAGTTCTTTTCAAACTTACATCTCAGACTCCTCTTAGCTCCTGGTCTGCGGGTTGCTTGGCAAGCACGCAAACATTTGCTTAGGGCAGAATATTAGGGAGGTCTTTGGAATAGCCTCAACCTGTGTTCCCAAAACCGGAAGCCCCTTGTTTTTCTTTCCTTGAGAAGCTCTCTTTGAAATTGAGAAACACCTTGGGCTTGGTCGGGAGCTGGGGAAGGGGAGGGCATATATAGGGTCACCAGTATGTCAGCAACTCCAGGAGCATGTGCCCTGAAGCGAGGCCAGGGACAAGTTGCTGTGAGACTAGTATCTTCTCTACTAATCTTTCTTTTATTTTTCCCTCTGGTCAGATATGTAAACTTTTCTCACCCTGGGAGGTATATACATCGTCCACTTGGATAACTCAACTCCTGGGCCATCAGTCCTCAAATTTTTTGCTTCTGACTTGAACCTGGCAAAGGATGTGACACCGAAAAATTAAGGAAGCTTCAGAAGGTCTCGAAGATTCGCAAATCATCTTGTTCTCTTGTTTCTAAGCAAGAGTTCTGAGTAAAATGTTTCTGCATGCTCAGGCAGTTCACTGTGCTCTTTTACATACTCTTAATGACATCACCGTTACTGTGAGTTGGCAAAACAAATGTTCTGATCTGCCCATGAGTGTTTAGTTTCCAACCTTAAATCATGCTTTATTCCAGCAGTCCACAACCTTTTTGGCACCAGGGACTGGTTTTGTGGAAGACAATTTTTCCATGTACCTTTGGTGGGTGCAGTGTGGTGCTTTTAGGATGATTCAAGTGCATTACACGTATTGTGTACTTTATTTCTATTATTATTACATTGTAATAGATAATGAAGTAATTATACAGCTCACCATATTGTAGAATCAGTGAGAGCCCTGAGCTTGTATTCCTATAACTAGACGGTCCCATCTCAGGGTAGACAGTGACAGATCATCAGGCATTAGATTCTCATAAGGAGTGCATAGCCTAGATCCCTCACATGTGTGGTTCACAATAGGGTGAGTGGTCCTATGAGAATCTAATGCCACCACTGCTGTGACAGGAGGCAGAGCTCAGACAGCAATGCAGGTGATGGGGAGCCACTGTAAATACAGATCAAGATTTGCTTACCTGCCATTCACCTCTTGCTCTGCAACCCAGTTCCTAACAGGTCACAGACCAGCACCGGGCTGTGGCCCAAGGGGTGGGGACCCCTGCTTTACTAGGTTTTATTTTTGATAGGGCAAGGTCCTTGTTTATCCCCAGTCTTTGGGGTCTGGTGCTTATGAGAATGGTGGTAGCCATTCCCCACTGAACATGCTAGAGCTTTCTATATACTTTTGAATCAGCACAAACTAGACACAGCTCATTCCTGTCAAACATATCACCTCCATATGTCTCATCTGAGCTGGATACTCTTTACTGCCAAGTGTGGTGCCAGGTTCTGTAGATCCATCCATTGAAACTGTCTGCCAGGATGTTCCTGTTTACAAGGCCAAGGTGATGGCCCTTGACCTAGCCTTCCCCTCACGCTTTGCTGCCTCACATTTCCCTTCCTGGTGTCCTCTCCCTGGAGGGACAGACCCCTGGCCTCTAGCAGCAGATTCTGCAGATCAGTGCATTTTCTGCTCCTGTGTCATTGTGGACACTGCCTGTGGAATGAAGCTTTTAACAGCTCCAGTCCCTAAAAAGCACAAGAATGCAGTGTGAAATACCATAAAGAGTGCCAGACAGCCCCCTGAAGACCTGAATCCAGCCGAGAGGGCTGCTAGCTCCCATGTGACTTTGTGTGCGTTGTTGCTCCTCTCTGATCCCTGTTCCTTATCTGTCAAATGAGGGAGCTCTGCTACAATCTCTGCAGCCTTTTCAGTTCGGAGATTCCACTGTTCTCGAATACCTCTAATAGCAGTTAGGGCCAAGGAGCCAGGGCATAGAAGCAGGCTGTGCATGACATTTTATCATGTCAGGGGGCAATTCCCTGTCATTTTCAGTGACCCCACCCCCCTCAGTGCCTGGCCGGCCTGGTTGGTTGAAACAGGCTCCAAAACAGCCACCAGTCCAGTTACAGTGTTTCCAGATGGGTTTTAGGCACCCAAATAATTTGAATTTCCCCAACTGTGTTGTAATTGTTGTAGTTAGATTTACATGTGCAATATGCCAGGTACTTGATAGGCATTTTGTTTTATTTTATTTTATTTATTTTTTGAGATAGTCTTGCTCTGTCGCCCAGGCTGGAGTGCAATGGCATGATCTCAGCTCACTGCAACCTCCACCTCCTGGGTTCAAGCAATTCTCCTGCCTCAGCCTCCTGAGTAGCTGGGATTACAGAGGCACACACCAGCACACTTGACTAATTGTATTTTTAGTAGAGACAGGGTTTCACTATGTTGGCCAGGCTGGTTCGAACTCCTGATTTCAAGCAATCTTACTGCCTCAGCCTCCCAAGGTGCTGGGATTACAAGCCTGAGCCACCGGGCCCTGCCAGGCATTTTCAATGCTCACAACAACCCTATGAGGTGTGGGTATTCATTTATGCCTATGAGGACACCAAGATGTGTGGCAAGCAGCATTTGTTTCAGGTCACACAACTGGAAAGAGGCAGAGCTGGTGTTCAAACCCAAGTTTGTCCCTCAGGCCAACACCCCACACTGCTTTGGGAGTGGGCATAGTGTCTTGAGGCTTGCAGGGTGGGTCACAGACACTAAAGCAGTGTTTTCAGTGCTGGGGACAAAATCTTTGCTAGCACTGAGTGCTTTTACTGGGTGCTAGTCCCCTCACTAAACACTTGCATTATATCCCCTACATGGAATTCTACAAAGTAGAAATTTTAGGTCTCACAGATGAAGGATCAAGCTCAGAGAGGTTAAGTAACTTGCCCAAGGTCTTATGACCAGAAAGTGGCTGAGAAGCCAGGATTTGAGCCCTGGTAGCCTGGTGCCAGAACCCACCCCATTAACCACAAGCAGAGAGGTTCTTGACATTCTGATCCCATTCATTATGTGGGAGAAAATGTTTCTCTGCTGACAAATTGTTAAGTGGAAATTTACCCTCATTTCTCCTGAGCCTTATGGGTGTCACTCTTAAAATCATGTATTCAACAAAGTGCCTTCTAAGTACTGAGCCCTGTGCATGCTGGTTTTATTGTGATGTGTATATTTGTATGACAATTTAGTGTCATGAGTGATATGCTAGAGGTGTGCCCAGGGTATGGCTTGTCACTTACTAGCTGTGGGACTTTGGGCAAGCTTCTTAACCTCTCTGTTTTTTCATCTGGGAAATGGGAGCAATGGTGTGTGTCGGCCGTGAGGGTTAGCTCTCGTGTGTAGGTGCTTCACAAGATGCAGAACTGTGAAGGGCAGGCATCACAAAGCAAGCAATAGCTAGAAGCAGACTCCAGATAGGCCTCAGTCTCCCGGGTGAGGGTGGTGGAGGTGGTCTTGGGACTTTGGGCCAAGTGGCAGAGTGGTGGGACTGGGAATTTTAGACCAGCATGGCTTTTCCTCCGCGGAGCTCAAGCCATCCACCCAGGTTTTGCAGGCCAAGCAGGCTAGAAGGGCAAAGGGATAGCAGGAGTAAGGGAAACGAATGCAGTGCAGAGAATAGAATCTAGGGCAGATGGGGAGGGGCATCAGGGTGGGAAGGGGCTGAGAAGGAGGGTGCACCGAGGACTGCAGGGCAAGGAACTGGCACAGTAAGGAAGAGTCTGGAATGGGAAACAACATGTGGGTAGGATCCAGAGTGAGCTGGGGCCAAAGCCCTTAGTGAAGGAAGTGGGGCCCCTCTCTCCATCCCAGGCCTCTCTCCTCTCCCCTCTCCCCTCTCCCCACGGGGCTCCTTTCCTTGCTGTAGCCTCAGGAACTCAGCCAGAGGGGGCAACCACTCTCCATCCCCCAACCCAGACTCGTTTTCCTGGGGCCCCAGATGACTAGATAGACTTCATTGGTTTCGAGGTTTTCACAGCTAATTTCTGTAAGGAAACACACACAAGGGGATGTGCCACATTCCTGAAAGCGCTCATGGTTTCTTGCTGACAGGTTCAGTGCCCTTCTCAGAAGGCAAATGTTAGCACCAAAGGGCATCTGCCCTTTGCTTGTATTACCCTCAGCGTGGGGCCCAGTTAAGACTAACACCCTCTCCTCCCACCCAGTTCTGCCTGGAGTTTGACAAGGGGCCATTAAGGTCTGAAGCCCCTTCCACTGGGAGGAGAGTGCAGCAGGCACCTGTCGCATGGGGCCTCCTGTGCTGTGCCGTAAGGGCCACATGGGTGGGCACAGTTTAGATGACCCAAGAACGCAAGCCTCAGAGGTGAATGAAAGACACTGGTGTGTGGTACTAGGCTAGCGGCAACTGCGGAGCCTCAATGCCAGGCCAACCCCTGCCTCTGCCCACAGCATCCCTGCATGTTCCCCCTAACTGAAGTGCATGGGCCCAAAGGGGCAGCCTCCTCAGTGAGCCATGCCCACAAGAAGCAGCAAAGATCTCATTCAGCTGTCAAGTGGAGGGAGCCGTGGTTGAGATGGTCACGCTCAACCTGGACCCTGGGCTCCAGAGGGCACAAAGGCAAAGGCACAGCAAGGAGGCACCCAAAAGACAGGGACCGAGATGGCTTCTCAGCAACACACTTCACTGGGGGACTCAGGGATTCCCGCCCTAATCCCCTGGACAAATGAAACCAAGTCATCCTTTTTCAGTGAAAATCTGGGAAATACCATTTCAGGTCAGAATGGTTTCTGTTTTTTTTTTTTAAAAACTCAATTAAATGTGGTATTTACAGGTTTGTTTATAATTCTTATGTTCTGTACAACTGCACTGAACTGAGTGTATCCTGGAAGGAAAAGAAGTCATTTGGGTTTCTGGGTCAGGAGTATCACCTTAGAGTGATTCCACCCAGCAGAAAGAAAAGACAGGAGGCAGGTTATTCATATGCTGCTTTATTTCTGTAAGGATACACTGAAACGTTAGATGATAATAGCTAATGACAGAATGTAGAAATGAGGCATCAGCTTCTCTAACCACTCCTACAAGAATGTTAGTATGTATTGTCATTACATGTTTACTTTTGATACTGTCTCATTATACTATGTCATATAATAATGTAGAATACAGTTAATCAGGTGATCCTGCATTTCAGGTAAAGCGGTAGATAGAAATCCAGATTTCCTCTTGAGGATAAGTCCTAGGAATCACAAGAGAAGGGACTTTACAGTCCTCATTAACACAGGGACACAGAGCAGACAACTACTACGTTACAAGGAATTCAACTCATCACTGTTGGGAAATGTCATATCCATGTTGATGACAGCCCTGGCGCCTGCTCAACTCCCCCTCTAGAGTTTGGCGGTTACTTTTGTAGGATGAATTTCAACACTGCAGGAACATCTGAGGGGGGCTAAAATATTTTCATGCAAAGTTTCCAAACCCATAAACTATTTTACTATCAATTAAAAACAAAAAAATTTTAATTAAAAGCAATAAAAAGGACAGCAGGGTTAGTTTTGTTAAGCTTCCAGAAGTATCTGTGGTGACGATGTTGCTCTGAAACAGGCTCGTTTTCTCAGGTCTGCCTACACTTCCCAAATCACCTGCATGTTCCATGCTTTAAAGTAGGAACACTCAGAAACATGCCACACAGGGAAACCAAACGTTAGTACGGGGATAGGTCAGTTTAGAATTACAGCTAAGTTCAAATGTTAATTTTCTGGAAATTCATGTTAGTCATTTGAAAGCACAAAATAACAAAAGGAAGGGCAGAGTTCTGATGAGGAAGTTAAACCATGCATGTCAGTAAGTTCTTTTCCTGCTCACAGAAGAGGGTGAGCAGTGAGTTGGAGCAGCCGCTCCGACTCTGGCATGTTGTGTGTCTACACGGTGGGTCCCAGCTGAGGCGTGAGAGGCAGCTCAGTGGGCGCTTTATCTCCTATGCTTCTTGCTTACATCACTAAGTGGCTAAATGATTAGCACTTTTCTGCTCTATGAGAAACATGCAGAAGAGTCAATCTACCTAAGTTTTTTTTTTTAAATTGCAGCTGGACAGAAATTCACTTTGCTGCAGGGTTGCTTTTTGCTAAATGCTAATATGATCACGGTGTGCCCTTATTTGAGTAATACTGTAAAATGGGAGAAAAGATGGAAGGAGAACTTTAAAGAGGGGAAAGACCACTCTTCCCCTATTGATGGTAGAGGGCAGAAAGTAAGGACACAAAGAACAAGATTCAAATGCCATTTTACAGGACAGGAGCCCCTGTCAATTTACAGCTTTTTGGCACAGTCGGGACAATACACTTGCTCCTCGTGGAAAACAAAGCGCTTGTTGGCCAGATTCACGGAGCATTTTTTGCAGTGGAAGCAGTAGTCGTGCCAGGATTGTCCTTCATAGGCCACCACACTGGAGCCTTTACCAAACCCTGGGAAAAAAACAAAAGAAGACAAGAAAAACAGCTGAATGAACACAGGTAAGGAAGCCACGATTCAGAGAGATAAAATGACGACCTGCCCCACTCACAGACCGACAAGCACCGCAAGAGCCAGTGTCTGCCTGGCTCCCAGACCCCCTCCTCCACTCCATCGTGCACAGTCCCCCACGCCGCCATTGTCCCCCATGCCGCCGCAACCCTGCTATGGCTCTCCAGGACCTGAGAAGAAGCCGGAGCCCCGCCAAGGGCTTCCCTGATGTAAAGACCCCACGTTCCCATGCCACCGCGCTATTGCCCTGTGACTCGCACCGACCTCCCAGCATAACCAGTTTCTTTGATTTAGGTCAGGGCCATGGCATCAAAGTGGCCACCAGGAGGCAAACTTGGGCTGTTCGTGGGGTGTGCACTTACCGGGCCTCGAGGAGCTGCTAAGCTTCGATTTTTTCTATAAAGAACCACCACCCACGAGGGACAAGTCCTCTCTCCACCCGGATGCCTGCCCCGGAGGTTGGCGCTGGGAAACAGGGTGAGAGGCAAGCGTTTCCCGTGGCACACTGGGGGCTTCCTAGCTTTAGAGACTGGGTGGCTCACTCTTGACACAGTCCTTTTCCCTGAGGATGGCAAAAGTCTTCTCAAATGTACATTTCAAGGCTCCCCGGGGAGATGGGAAAATTGGAGGCAAGGGAAAGGGCCCAGGGCACGTGGATCGCGGCCGCGAGATGAGGAATGAAGTGATTAGCTTTGCTGATCGCAAAAACAAATGAACAGAAAACCAAAAAAAAAAAACCCTGCCAACAGTCACCTCTGAACTAGCCTTCAGTTATGGGTTGTTACAATCCCAAGTTATCACTCTTCGGCCTCCCCTCCCACTTCCCCTACCCTTCTCCACCCTACCCCACCCCCCTTCTTTCTACCCTCCTCCCGCCCCTCCCCCCAGAATCCCCCTGCAACGTAGCATTGCCTGCCGGTGATGGCCGGCAGGTCTCAGGCTTGTGAACGCTTGGCATTGTTAGTCAACAGTAGTCAGGAAGTGTTCTGTATTGCAAAGCCTAACCTGGCCTGGGGACGAATCCAAACTCTTGGGGGACCTTTGGGATGACAATAGCAGGGGGAGAAGGGCATTCTCTGGGGGCCTTTGTGGATGAAACCGACGACAGGAAAATGAGAGATGGTTACCATGCGCAAAACCTAGCCTGGCAGACTTAGCAAGGACTCTTTAGCCTACCAGTGATGGGGTTCTTGCATCCAGCACACTTCTTGGCCACAAAGTTCTTGTAGCAATCCACGCAGTAATACTGGTCCTCCACAGCGGTGAAACGCTGCCCAGCCAGCTTCTTAGAGCAGGTAACACACACAAAGCAATCGGCATGCCAGGGCTGATCCTGGTAAGTGATTCCTCCAGATGTGATGGCCTAGACCAGGGAGTGTAGCACCGGATTCAGATTCAACAACCATTTTGTTGAATGCCTACTGTGTGCCAGGCACCGTGCTGGGCGCTTTGGTATACAATATCTCATTTAATCTCCACAGCAGCCATGGGAGGCAGGGGCCATTATTATCCCCAGTTCACAGATGAAGACACCAAGGCTCGGAGAAGGCGAGCCCCTATGTGAGGTTGCACAGCCCCTAAGTGGTAGAGGCAGGCCGTATGGGCCACCCGCACCACGGAGCTGAGCATGCGTACCGACAGCCGACTTGGCTGTGGCACTGCTTTCTAATCCATGGTCTCCTCATCTGTAAAATGGGAATAATAATTCCTACGTCACAGGACTGTCGTGAGGATGGAATGGGATAGTGTGTGTGGAAGTGCTCTGCAAACCATCAAACACTTCTGGAAACAGCGGTCAATGCCGAACTCCCTTGAAAGCATACCTTGTTGCACTTCACGCAATGCTTGGCAAACTTGGTCTCATGGCAAGTCACGCAGTAGAAGTCCTCCCCTTTAGGGAAGAAGCTTCCAGTCCCGATGACTTGCTTGCAGTTACTGCAGGTGAAGCAGTCTTTGTGCCAGACGGTCCCCTTGTACTCCACGTTTTGATCTCCTGCAGGAGGAAGCAATTGGATGGCCCCACTGACAGGCTCTGCAGGGTGCTGCATCCACTCAGCCCTCCTCCCCAGACCCCTAGAGGTGAGGGGATGCAGGCCCTGCAGTTACTGGCCTCACACTTCCAACTAACCTACCTGTGCTCTAATTGTGCTTGTGCCAACCCGGGATTTCTGTCATGGGCGGGGACCCCAGAATTATTATTTTAGGATCCGATGCCTGAATCCCCCATGCCCCCACCTCTATACCCTGCGTGCACTTAGACATTAAATCAGGGACTGACTGGCCCGCAATGACACCCTGAGGAAGAAGCATGCTTTCATCACTTACTACGCCCAAATGAGAAAGCGCTACATACTGTTCACTTCATTCTCTTGCCACAGGCTGTTCTCGCCAGTGTTCTTTAGTCTCCGAGTGTGTGCGTGTGTGCGAGCATATATGTGTACGCATATATACGTGTATGTATATGTGTACATATATATGCTAAGATCTCAAAGCAGCTCAGAGCAACGTTAGCCCCACCGTGACAAGCAAGCCCACATCACATCTGCCCTTAGGGCCTCCTCCCTGGGAACCCGGGGTGGGAAGGGGGCAGTACCTGCCACAATGGCCTTGAAGCACCCTTTGCACCTGGGGGAGTCCTCCCGAGTGGTGCACTTGTTGCACAGGATCTTGTTGTCCTTGGCCACAAAGGTCTCATTGGCCAAGGGGTGAAGGCACTTGGCACAGCGGAAGCAGGTGTCGTGCCAGAAGCGGTTCTTATAGTGCACCTCCTGGAAACCAAGCAGACGGGGGGCTGCCATGAGGGGTGCTGGGGGCAATGGCAGGAGCCCTCCCATAAGGCAGATTTCCCCGGGACTGACCACTGAGATGACACAGTCCCTTACACCTGGGACGGCCCCACAGTGACGGTTCTTATGAGTAATAAGAGGGACAAAAGTAATAGGATAGGATAAAAATCTCACAATTCTTAAAATGTTTAGAATGCAATCAAAAGAGCTGGCAAGGACCTTGGCACCCGTCTGGTCGAGCCCCACATTAAACAGCTCAGGCCACTGTGGCCTGGGGAGTGGAGGAGGCTTCCTTGAGACCTCAAGGTGGCTACAGTGATGCCGGGAAATCCTCCCAGCCAGACGCTGCTGCCATGGTTGCGGGGAAAGGATATTCCGAAGCCCAGCCCTGCCCATTAAGATGTGGGGAGGTCCATTACCTTGGAGTCCGCCCCGATGGGCTTGCGGCACTCCACGCAGGTGTTGGCACAGAACTTGTCAAAGCACTTCAGGCAGCAGTGGTGACCATCCTTCTGCACATACTTCTTCCCCTGCAAGGGGTCCCTGCAGTAGTGGCAGTCAAACTTCTCCGCCATGGTGCCCACCTTATAGCTGGAGGGACCTGCGGGGGCAAGCAGACAGGACAAATGACCACCAGAAACGCCCCAGCACCCAGAGGCACCTGTGCAATGCTGCCTTGGAGTCCATGGGGTCTGGGAACCAGGACCCAGCTTCGCCTTCAGCACAGCTGACCACCAGGCACCAAGATAACAGATACTTCAACTATGATTCCAGGAACAAAAGTGCCCCTCAGGGCCAGAAGGCTGATGGCCAGTGACTCCCTGGGGAGATGGTAGAGGCCCCTGTTCGGATATACCACTGTGCTGATTCACAAAGGACAGGGAGGAGGAAAAGTGGATCAAAGCCATGTTGGCCAAGTCACCAGACAGGGGACAGGATACTGGGAGATGTGGCCAGGTAGTGCTATTGTGCCACTGAGCAGTGACCCGATGGAGTGGAGAGGTGTGATAGGGCAGGCAGGTGAGAAGCAGTTGTTTTACACGAAGTAAGAGTGTGGGGCAGAGGCTCAAAGGGGTGCAGGAAAGCCGGGGTCCCGCCTGTAGGCAGCAGCTTCTCTGAGCCCACTATGTTGTCATCAAGAAGCCTCTCCAGCCGCTTGTGGCTCTTCCTCCTTCACTTTTAGAGAGGGTAGTATCCTCTAGAGGCCTCCCATTCCTCCTATCTATAAAATTCTAGTCATCAGCAGGCACCTAAGTAATCCTTGTTAATTTAAAATGTTTAAATTGACTTTAGGAGAAAAGTGTTAAATTCCTGAATAGATCCTAAAGAGGTTTGTCCAAGACAGTTTACCAACTTTTGAGGCCAGAGCAATATAGCAAGAGACAACTTACGTACATGGCATTGTCAATTGGTACAGGCAAGTTTGGTAACCGTGAATTATCTGTTATAGTCATGGGTGGCTTTGTGCCCAAAATTCAATCCCTCCCTTGATTCAAGCAAGTGAGGATCAATATGCTCATAGAATTGTAGCCAGTGTTATCATTTGGGATATATGCTGTTTTAAAAATTATAATCTTAAAATAGAGTTTGGAAAAAATTATTCCAAGAATCCCTTCCACTCCCTCCGTGTGAACACGGTCTCCCTCCCCAGCGGCGGCCCTAGACAACACGCCTGCAATCCCAAGCATTGCTAAGGCACTCTGTGACTCCCTTTGCCAAGGCATTTCCTATAGAATTCTGCCACCTAAAAAGGTACCAAATGTGAGTTTCAATTAAGCTCTCAACTTCTTTAAACATATGCTAATTTGTTCCTCTCCCCCTGAAAAAGAAATTTACACGGGTAAATAGATAGCAATTATTTCATTTGCACAGAAAACACACAAGTGAGACTATTTTCTAAAACTATCCACAAACATGGTTATTGTGCTAGCAAACATCCAGTGTAATTTAGAGAGAAAATAAATGAGCAGTTGCCTGGTACTCACCACAGCTCTTCCAGTGACTGAACAGCCCCAAACTGTCACTTTGGGTTCCATTCTCAGGTTTTTTTATACAAACACATGTCCAAGTTATTTGGATCCTGTTGCCATAAGCAACCAAATAGCAGAGAGTGAGCTAAGGAAACCACACCCTGTGTCTGAGAAGCCGCCTGGGCAAAGGCTATTGAACTCTCACTCAGAACCAAGCCTCCAAACAAGGGAAATCAGGCCACTGGAAGAGCCACAGGGCCTTCTGCCTCCTGCTAACACATAAACAGACCCCCCTCATCTCTAAGGAGCTGGCAGATGAAGCAGATGAGTGACATTCTTGTGCAAGGACAGTTGCTTAGGACAGTTGTGTCACAATTAAGAGACTTAGCAAGTCCAGAGAATGATTCTTTCTTGCACTTTTCTCTAAAAAGCAAACTGTGATGTTCCTTTATATAATGGGTTAGAAACAAAAACCAGAGACACAATGGATGCAGGGCCTGTCTCTCTGAACTATGTACTGTTTAGGCAAGGCAGCTTTCAACCTGCTTTTAGCCTCCGTATCTATGAATTACCTGTCACAGTGAGAACATATGGAAAATCACTCTCCTTAATCCATTCTTGCTTGTCTTTCCCACGTCACACAGAAGCCTTGTCTTAGCTTTGCCATACTGGTATTGTGCCCTCACAAAGACTTGCTTTCTTGTTAAGGGCTGAGTTGAGAAACCAAATAAAATCTCCAGTAACAGCCAGTGGTAATAAATTAAATTATCAGCTGCTCCTAAATCCCATTTGGCAGGAAAACAGAATTTGTAAGATTAGACAGCACTGGCTTCCTGCATGCCTAGTAACCGTGGCTGGTTTAGCCTTTCAGAGACTATCTTCTGGACCATACTTGAAAATCCCTCATTCTCTCTTATCAAGGTCTCTATTTAGTATACAACATTGAACCTACTCGCTCTAGTATCACTTGCTTTTGATACCTTTATAAGCAGAAATAGATTCCAAATATTTCTATTAAAGTACTATATAAAGTTCCACCTAAGGTGAGTCAAACCTCTCAGTATTTGAGTCCTATCTTTATGGTAAAAATACAGGTTAATTTGTGTCATACAGAAGAAAAAAAAACACTAGAAAACACAGTGAGTGCCATTTAGAAGTAGAGGTTTTGAAGAGAAGGAAAACTGCATTATGGGTCAGAGTACCTGAGAGATCTTACCTGCCATGTCTTTCACACATTAAAACCACACACCTTCAGAACTTTTTTATTACCAATGCAAAGTGCTTCACCATTTAGTCTCATAGTTCTAGAACATGACTTGCCCAGAGTTCTAAGCATCCAGATGATACAGTAATCCACGGCTCACCCGCGAAGACAGAAAAAACAAAGGGTGTTGAAAACGTCAGACAATGAAGTCACTGGCCACTATATAATTCCCAAAGTACACAGTCTTAAACCAAGCAAAAGGAAAATTAAATGAAACAACCCCAAGTTAATAGTATCCATAAGAAGAGATTCATCTAATGGTATTTTTGAATCCTAGCTGTAGGCAAGACTTTCTCACTCTCTAGTATGAAAACTCTAGGGTCACCTTACACCTTCTATTCCCCACCACTGTATACTTAAACCTATAGTCTGTACCCAGATGGAGAAACATTTCAAAGGGTATATTCTTTTCGAATTGATTTCTACAATTCACTTGAGTCCTTTTAATGTGTGTGGAAACAATTAGTGCAGATAAAACAGGCACTTCTAGGAATGCTGGATTTGTTGCCTAATAAGTAAACAGGCTAGAAATACTTACAGTATGTTCACAATGTGTATGTCAAACTCTTGAACGTTAGTACTTGTTTTGCCATAAATCAAGTGGAACTGCGGGCAACCTGAATTAGCTTATGTCATGTAGTTCTAACTTTATGATTATTTGTTACAAAAAGATTTCAAACCCTCACGCATGCAGTGTGCTCAGGATGAAGCTGGAGGAGATACTTACTGATCATACCACAACTTTGTATACAGTATGGACCAAAACAACCCTAAAAAGCCAGCTTATAAATGACAACGCTGAGACACACGTGCAAAGACCCTGTGTGGGCTCCCTAGGAGTCCGAGCTACTGTCGAGCTTTCACTTCATGAGGAGAAAAAAATTTGCACTTTCTTTTCTTTTGTTGGAAACAATGAGAAAATAGGGAAAGATGAAGATGGCATTTTACCTCGATTTTTTTTTTTTTTTTTTGAGACTGGGTCTCACTCTGTCTCCCAGGCTGGAGGGCAGTGGTGCCATCTTGGCTCACTACAACCTCCACCTCCCGGGGTCAAGAAATTCTCCTACCTTAGCCTCCTGAGTAGCTAGGACTATAGGTGCAGGCCACCACACCCGGCTAATTTTTGCTATTTTAGTAGAGACAGGGTTTTGCCATGTCGGCTAAGCTAGTCTCAAACTCCTGACCTCAAGTAATCTGCCCGCCTCAGCCTCCCAAACTGCTAGAATTGCAGGCGAGAGTCACCATGCCCTGCCACTATCTTACCACTTCTTTTGGGCTCTGTTTAACCTTACAGAATAATATGTACTTAGGCATTTATCTCTTAGGGAGTAATTTTTTATCCCCTTAGCGATTTCTAAGTACATGAAATGTGAAGGCTTTTAATCTTCCAAAACTTCTGGATATGTCTGCCTTGACCTATTGTTGTTATCTGGGAATGGGCATGTCAGCCATCATTGAAGGAGACATTTGCTACATATCATCACAATGCTTCTTCCCTTACCAACTGTCTTTGTGGACAGCATGTTTGCCCTCGGACAGCTCTTTGACTAATTTTAACGTCTCGGTATAGCCTTCATCTGTTCATAGTAGGGATGCTAGAGTAGGTATTAGACATGAGCACAGCTGGAAGGGGCACCCCACTCAACCAGGAATGTTAGGTGGCCATCAGGTGAAGGTTAGGTGGTTGTTAAACTCTCTCTCGCTCTAAAATAATGATTGGTCGAAGCTGGCACCAAGGAAATGCGGTTCCCAATAGACAGAAACACCTGAAACTGGTGATCAGCCACTTCCCTGTAAGATCTCAGGAGCTGGGTGAGTGGGCTCAAGTATGAGCACTAAGAGGCAAAATGGTGGCGTTCAACTGGTATAAGACCTACCTCTAGGAATGTTCCACTGCTAAGGGAAACACTGCTTAGGGGAAGCATGTGTACAACTTCAATAAACAGTGCGCACGCGGCCCTTCCCGAGTGATGGCAGGCCACTGGGCATGTGGACAACAGCCCACCCCAATGAAAGAATCAGAAGAGAAGTAATATAACCCCTTTTATATGCCAACATATAGAGGCCCAGGTCAAAGATCAAACCATAAACTTGAATCTCTCAATGAGCCTGTTTGGTCATCTTCCAAGTGTACTTTCATTCCTGCTCTAATTTTTTTTTTTTTAAACAGAGTCTTACTCTGTCACCCAGGCTGGAATGTAATGGCGCTCTCTGTTCACCGCAACTTCCACTTCCCAGGTTCAAGCGATTCTCCTGCCTCAGCCTCCCAAGTAGCTGGGATTACAGGCGTATGCCACCATGCCTGGCTGATTTTTATATTTTTAGTAGAGACAGGGTTTCAACATGTTGACCAGGCTGGTCTCCAACTCCTGACTTCAAGTGATCTGCAAGCCTCAGCCTCCCAAAGTGCTAGGATTACAAGCGTGTGCCACCACACCCAGCCTCCTGCTCTAAAACTTTTTAATAAACTTTCAATTCTGCTCTAAACTTGCCTTGGCCTCTCCTTCTGCCTTGTTCTTCCTTGAGGAGGGAAGAGCTGAGACCCACACAGATTCCCTGCTAACATACTTTGGTGCCGAGTGACTTGGATACATTTCCTAGTGCTAACAAGTGGTTTGTCTATCACAAAAAGTTCTGCCCATACACAAGGAGCCCCAGTACTTAATCCAGGGCCTTGTATACAGGAATCACTCAGTATATGCCTGTTGATTGACAGATGGAGATAAATTACCATAACCATGTTTCTAAAACTTCCGGTATGTAGATGGTCACTAAAAGTGGTTTCTGATGCAATTATCTGAGCCTCTTATTTTGTCCATACCAAGCCTATTTTAGGACCACACTGATTTCCTTTCTGTAAGGACTTCTCTTCTTTCTTGGGCCAATTCTCCTCTGCTTTCATGGACTTATGAACCTAATGCAATATGACATGCTATTTCCTGATTTTAAAAATCATTTCCTATGACCCGTAAGGTGCTGAAGTCTAACCTACACCTCAGGGTCACATGAATGTCCCCTAATTATCTAAGAGAGAAAAAGCATCATTTTTAAATAATTTAATTTAAAAATTGACTTAAACGTTTTATAAACTTAGAATGCAGTTATAAATGTGGCTGGGTGACAAAATTTTAGATATTTATTCCAAAAGGGTAGCCTGACTTTCTATGCCTGCTTCAAAAGACACGTCATTTTTCACTTAATAAACAAGCTGCCTTTTTCAGAACATTCCTGAACTACATCCAGCATGCTGAGAGGTCCCTAAATAAACCTCAGCATCTTAATTAAAAGTTCTGGCTTTCAATTTAATCATGTACACAGAAGAGTAATATAACATTATGACATTTTTCTCTTTTTCACTATAAACTTCTCAATAGAGATTCAATTTGTATTTAATAAATCTTGCTTGTGGTCTTACATGTATTTTCTCATGTATTTCTTCCTTGTGTTCATTTTCTCCCACATGCCCGAGTAGCTCAAATCATGAATATTTAAGGACAAAGTGAGTAGGCAGCATTTTTTTATGTGCTTTCCCTGAAGGGTGTAATGTACAGTGTAAACAATAAACAACCCAAATGGAAAAAAAAACAGGCTATTTCAGACTCGTTCATCACTAAATCCAACATACCACTACATTAGTGACTCCACATATAAACACTGGCATCTAAAGAAAGGGTATAATGCTTTCCTCAGAACATTCACCAAATGGAGCGAAGCCTTAGCCGATGAATAGGACACTTGTGTAGCAGACATGCTAAGGCACCTGGAGGTGTTGTCAGACATTTGGGAATAAGAACCTAAGTAGCTGCAATGAGATGGAGCTCATGAGTCACGGCTGAAAAGTAGTTTTTCATACAATTTCATACAAAAATCAGAAAGTGTTTTTTCCTTTCAAAATAGAACGTGTACAGAATGATTCAATGTTATTAGCAACTTCACTGGTATGCTGCATTTCGAAAAAAAATCTTTTTGGGGTCATTGATACATAACTAACGCCATTTTAGATTATATTGGGTGTCAGGAGGGCTCAATACAGATTATTAAAAGAAAAATTATGTGCTACTGAACTTCCTGCACCATTTTGTCTGTCTGAAGGTTTTTCATAATGTTGCACAGATTATGTACAACACATCCCCTCTTTCATATGGGAAGAAAGCATCTCTGACCCGGCAGCAAAAGAGCATGAGTCCTTTAGTTTCTCCAGTTGTGCTGAAGCAGTAGGTAGACATTTAGTGGTCCTTAAAAGTACAAAACGTTCAGTTTCACCCTCACCCAAATCTTCTGAATTTTAAAAAGCCAATCCAGTTTCATTACTCTCCTCTCACCCTACCCTCCCATTTTCCATCCCTGCCCCAAGAAAAGAGGGGCAGGCTTGTGTAGCCCACTGAGCAGTGGCTGGTGAAGGGAATCAACGGCCATGTAATATGGCAAGTGACCTGATTCCCCCTCCACAACCCAATCCTTGTCTTTGACTTGAAAGGCCAAAGGGTAAAGAAATTAAATCTACATAATTTTGCAGACTGAAAGTCTTCAATGTCAAGAGTATACATTTTTTTTGTCCCTGAAATGTCCTCTCAGTATAGGGACAGTCACTAAAAATAGATTTGCATCCAATTATCCTAGCTTCTATTTTGCCCATACTGAGCCCATTTCAGGGCAACACTGATTTCCTATGAGGACTTCTCTCTCTCATGGACTGATTCTTCTCTGCTTTCATGAACCTATGAACCTGATGCAATGCAAAATGCTATTTCCTGATTTCAAAAATCATCTAAAAGGTGTAAATAATTTGTCTCATTTAGCCACAATTATTATAGCCTCCAGACTTACATACACAAGAATGACATAAGAATGTGTTGCAATTTAAGAGCCAAGGTTGGGTAAGCTTTTAAACTTTCTGTCACTATTCTGTCACTTAATTATTAAATACAATGAAGAGTTACTTTACCAGGTAACATGCATTTAAGGTTCATCAGGACAACTAGTACAGCTGACTAATTTGCTTACACCCAGAGAATGTGTATCTTGGCTGATAACCACAATCTCAAGCATTTGGTACCATGTTTGTGAAACAGTTCCTGAGGGTTGGGGAAAAAAAAACACAACTGTTGAACAGTTGGGAACAGGGAAGACATTGCATATTAATTCATTAAGGTAGGGAATTCCATTGCAGCATATCTACTTTAAAACCCCAAAAAGAGCAATTTCCATTGTTCAAATATTGACAGGCAACAAGTTTTAAAATATAATTTTTCCACCATGGCATGTGTATACCTATGTAACAAACCTGTACATTCTACACATGTAATCCAGAACTTAGAGTATAATAATAATTTTAAAAGATTTTTTCAAAAAAGCCATAGATAATGACTTTGTCTCTTAATCTGAAAGCTGGGAGACAGGACAAAATGCCTTCTTTAAATCCAACTGCCTGACTTGACCAGCTCCAAGAAAGGGAACCATTACTTAGGCAGTGGGCCACAGGGCCACAGCCACCCTCCTGGCTTCAAGGACTGGGCTTTTGTACCCTCAGCCCCTAATTCATAGATTTCTTGTCAGCGGCCAAAAGGCTTCCTTAATTGTAAGGTTACAAAACCAGAAGAAAATGCTCATGGCCTAAGGAATCCAAAATGTGCCCCTTTTTCTGCTAAAAACAGTAACATACTTATCACATCAAAAGGACCATAGCTGTTACTTTGGGAAGATTTAAAACATTGTCAGAAAAAGGGAAGATGTGTTAGGTCGTTGTGGACTTCCTTAGTTACAAATGTTCCTCCTTCCAGTTCCACATTTGATTTACCTTCTTCAAACACCTGAGATTTAAAGCACTGTCAAGATGAAGAATTCTATCTTAGAAAAAAGAAAACCAAAAATTCCTAAGCAGAAAAATCTTTCCTCACATAATCTCTTATAGTTTCAATGTAGTGGGAACATGTTCATATACATCCTTTTAAAATAAGCCACTCAAACTGTTAATTGTACTTGAACAATATTTTGCTTTGAAATAGCATGAAATGCAAAGGCAAAATAGAGACAAGCTATAATTTATTTACTATTCAGACAAGACTAAAATCGTTTCATCGAAAACCATCTTTTAGCCAAATGATGGATTCACTGCCCTAACAAAACTGTGCTCAATATAAGATAAAGAGCATTAATTTTTTTACCTGAGTGTCTATGGGAAGCCATGGCTCAGAAACCAAGTTCAGGAGCAGCACCTAGACCCGTCTTCCCTCAACCCCAGCTGATAAGGCTGTGGCTCATTTGTGAACATACATTTAAGGGGAAGCAGCTAACACAAAAATAACCGAGAGCAGATGTCCCACCCCTCCCCAGAGATCACAACCTTAATCCCACTAGAAAATTCTTAACCATTTTAGGTGATCCAAGGGAGAAGAATAGGACCCAGTAAAAATACCAAACGCTACATATAAATACCTGCGGGGCTACTCAGCATCCAAATTAGCTCCAGAGCAGAGAGGCCACATAGAAAGTCATGCCTGTACCGGAATAAAATTTGGACTCGGCTCTGGCATAGCTTAACACTGAGCCAACCTTATTAATCCACTTTATATGCCTCAAGAGCTTGCATTTGGCCCTATAAATAATACATTTCTGTGCTGTTAATGATAACAGTAACTCTAAAAGATAGACTTATGTTACCAGTGTAATTCAAGGAGATTAGACTCTATGAATATAGAGATTAAGGGGATTATAGATGTTGTCACTCTACATCCTCCTTGGTATGTTCCAGAGATCAGCAGACCACCGTACCAGAAAGGGGAGCGATTCTAATCACCCCACCTCCTTAACGGCAGGCAGCACAGAACAAGATGGGGAGACTACGTGTATCCCCACCACAGATACAATGAAGACATTTTGTCTGACAAACTCAACCTCTTGCTTTTCAACATCAGGGACAATAAAAGGAAAAATATGAATGAAAATAAAGACATCAACCTAACATGTTGTAACAGCTCAACAGGCCATCAGATGGCTGGAGGCTGGTCATTAGGAGCATGCTCTAGGAAAAGAAAGCCATCTTCTCCCAAATTCTTCTCTGGCCTTCTTATCTTCAGCCCCCTTTCCCTCACTCCTGCCTCACTGGCCTTCTCACAGAGGGCACAGGGGCCCCCATGGTTGTTCCTTCCACCACTTCAAGTCTGCTGGTATTGCACTGATTTCTCTCCTTGTTGTCTGATCTCCTGCTCTGCTCCATGAAGGCAGGGATTTAGTAGTGGAGCCCACTGCAGTGGCCCCAGAGCCTAGAACACTTTCCAGCTCCCAGGAGAGCCTCCAATAACGATTCCTTGAAAGAATGAACTAAATAACTAAAAAGCCCATCAAACCTCCAAAACACAGTCTCACCTGCAATCCTGAAGGTGGTTTTGGCCACTCAACTTTAAGGCAGGCAGCTGACCCTCATGCTGGTACACCTTTATAGCCACTGTCTTGTTGAACAGTGCATGTCACTGGTTTTGGCCCTATTCACCCATCTCCCCTACCAGGTTGAGGGCCAGGGCAGTGTTTTGCTTGTCTTCGTGTTCCTACAGCACAGAGTAGGTGAGCAGTAAATGTTCCCTGAATAAATCAATTAATGAGTTTCCCAATTCCTATGATCTTCAAACATTTAAGGAAAAGTTATTCTAAAAGGTAGCTGACATCAGTAACTCCCATTTAGCTAGAAAATGATACAATAAAAGCCAGGTTGTTACAAGCAAATTTATTACGTATTGGGGGGGAAAAAAAAGCCTGGGACAAGAAGAGACGCTACACTGTGCTCTCGCTCCATGCCTTTCTAGTCTCTTTCTTATCCAGCCTGATTAAATTATGGTGGGGAGATTAGCCAGTTGTAACACCACCACATCCCTAAAATAAACTGAAACTTTTCACCTGAGAAAATTCTCTTACTTTATTAGATGATTAACCTTAATGAACCCTGAATTTTTTATTTTAGTAAGGTATATTTTTAGGAAGAGCCCATGTATGTTGAAACGCCTCCCTTGCAGTGCTTGGTGTGCCAGATACTTTCCTTTAGGAAGTTTCAAGCTATGCATCGGTTAGTGTCTTATCGTAGCAAGTGTGGTGGTTCTTTAGGTTTCTGATCATTTTGAAAAGTGACAACAGAATATGGACAGACAGCCTTATGAAGGTATCAAAAAACAAATCTGTTTTGCCTAAAATAAAAGAGAAAATTCAAAGACAAGAGAATCCCTTTTTGACCATCATGAATTAGTCAGCTATGCCAGCCAGCATGGTCTGGGAGCTGAGCCCTGCAACAGAATTTACTCCAGTTATTTCCATTTCCATCAACAGGTAACTCTGCCTTCCTAAAAACTTCATGAAGCATGACAACTGCCTGCTTGCTCTGACATCTGGCCCTACTGCAGACATCCTCAAGGCACAATTAGACCTTCCACAAAACCAAAACACAAAAGGACCCCTGCATGATGAAAAACAATTTCTTAGGAATAATAGTTGGCAACTTTGTCCTGTCTCAGATCCGTGGTTCGGAACCCTTGCTGGTTATTTCACAGGTACCTGGAGTCACGGTTTTCATTGGCATCTGAGTCACTCTTGTTACACATAATAACATCCTTAAGAATCACCGTACTGTTTACAAAGCACCTTTATATACTATTGGTCGAGCTGGCTGGTGTTTGGTGAGCAATTCTCTTCCGTGTATGATGGTTACACTTCAGGCCTTCTAGTCTCATACTCTAGCAATATCAGGACAATTTTTTTTTTCAGTGAGTGCTAGGCATCAAACTCCCTAAGGTTCCCCTCCATGTGATCCTCTGTGAATCACTTACTTCAGGATTTATCTACACATCCTTATGTTCCTACTATCTACAGATGCATTATGACCCATTGTTGGGTTCACCTATAGATAATGCCACCCAGCCATTATTTTATTGTATATGACAAGCACTCATTGAACAGATGCCCTACTATGTGGTGCAAGATATTTTGCTGGTCACAAAGAATAAAATACAATCCTTACTTTCAAGTGTAACAAGATAAATATACAAATGACTGCCATGTAAGGCAGAGCTTGACAAATATTATAAGAAAGTTATAAAATGTTACTGAGATTTATCACAGGGAGAGATTACATCTGGTTTGGGGATCAACAAGACTTGATGGATGTTATGGTATTTGACCTGGTCCCTGAAAAATGATTAAGACTTTGACACGGAGAGAAGGGAGAGGGAGTGTTCTAAGAAAAAGGTACCATGTCAGCTAAGATATGAGAAAAACATAGGGCATGTTCAAGAAGCAGGATGCAGCTGGGGTGGTTGGGGTGTGACAGAAGCACCAGATAAGGAAATAGTGGAGAGGAGAGAAAGCCACACCCGGAGGACCTTTCTGCAACTGGTGCAAGTGATGAATGAGATGGAGTCATGTAAGCAGTAATAAGAAGAGCAGATCTCCACCGGGGGTGGTGGCTCACGCCTGTAATCTCAGCACTTTGAGAGGCGGAGGTGGGCAGATCACTTGAGGTCAGGAGTTTGAGACCAGCCTGGGCAACATGGTAAAACCCCATCTCTACTGAAAATATAAAAATTAGCTGGGAGTGGTGGCACATGCCTGTAATCTCAACTACTCAGGAGGCTGAGACAGGAGAATCACTTGAACCTGTAAGTAAACATCATGCCATTGTACTCCAGCCTGGGCAACAAGAACGAAAGGGAGACAGGGAGGGAGGGAGGGAAGGAAGGAAGGAAGGAAGGAAGGAAGGAAGGAAGGAAGGAAGGAAGGAAGGAAGGCAGATCTCAGAGGAAGAGAGGAGGCAGGCAGACAGCACAGGGTACTCTCCAGTGAGATGCAAGGTAAGACTGAAAGAATGAGAGGCAGGGCAATGGGCATGGAAAGGAAAGACTAGATGTAAGGGACACTGTGGGACAAGGTTGCAAGGACTGAAAGAAGGGGAAGGAGCCAAGGATCTATCTGAGGTTCTGACTCTGGGTGATTGGGAAAATAATCGGGAAGGTGGGAGGCAGAGCTGGTGTAGGGAAGAGTGACACTTTTAGACTTCACAATGAGCTTCTTCTGAGATGTCAAAAATGAACCCCCTTTAATGGGATACCAGTTATCAAGGAGCAAGAGAGAACAGTAAGATTACAGTAGAATCACGTTTGTGGGATTTCTCAGGCTGCAATCTATTCCCAGCCTCTCTACCTCAGAAACACCACTGGGAGGATCAAACTTCAAAAGTTCAAAGTGGTGCAACCAAAGAGTCAAACATGGCAAATTCAGTGACCCACTTGGCCCACATTTCAGCAGTTTCTCATTCACAGCTGGACTTGTGGTCACCCTTCTCCCTTTACTAGATTTTTCTTTTCCTGAAGAAATTTCCAAATGGTTAAAAACTTGTTCAGACAATGACTAGCCATGTGTCATGACCAGGGGCAAGAGGCTGGTAACAAACTGTAATGGGGTCTTTGCCGATTTATCAGTGGTTTCATGTCCAGTTTTTAAACCTTACTCTTCTTTACTTCATGCCTACTACTAATAAACTAATATACTGCAAGTTTTTTTCTGAATATAATTTTGTCAGACTACTTAATTCCTCTGCCAACAATTTATCCTGAGTGAGTCCAACTGCAAGATTAAAGCAACTAGTCATGCACTATGATATGATGTGATTCAATGTTGAGCTCTCCGGAGTATTTCTTGTCCTATGTACTCTTGCCAGAAAAAAGCCCAGGACAGCTTCAGCCATCTCATGTTCCTGTCAATCTTTAAGGTGGGAAGAGTACTTTTTCCTACTGACAAGTCCAATTTGCAAAGTCACTGCTTAAATGTCACAATTCATGGCATACCTGTCAGAGATTAAAATGAAGGAGCACCCCTGGAACCCCAAGAGGGGGGATTTGGTCTTGTAAGATCCAAATGAAAGCAAAGCTGAAATTCGGCCTACCCAAAGGGTCTCTGAATCTCAGAGAGAAGGAAAAGGTGACTACGAAAGAAGAAGATCTGTTACAAATGAGATAAGATAAATGAAATAAAGGATCTTGTAAACAGCAAATCACCTGGAAAATGCTAATTAACTCAACTGAAGACCTGTTCATTTCACAGTTGATGAGGGCTTAGAAGTTCCCTTATAGTATTCACACGGAGATTACGAAGCATGGGCCATGGCCTCGTCCTTTGATTTTTGGTAATGTCATGATCAGTAACAGTTTTAAACATCTCTTGTCCCCAAAGTCTGCCCCCTTCCTGTGTTACTACTAGACTCTTACCAAGAGGTAGGAACTATCCCAACCACATCCTGTAGATACTTTTATGGGCCTATAACCAGAAATCACTACCAGGAAAACACCAAAAAATGACTTTTGGAGCATACCTAGGATTGTATTTTTCAAAAAACAGAAGTGGCAAAAAAAAGTAAAAGACG